CCCCCCCCCTTGCTATCCTCCCCCCCAACAGAGAGGAAAGCAGAGAAATACATCAGTGATATCTTATGACAAAAATAATTCAATACAAAAGCGCCCATACACAATTTGATTTTGCTGCCGAGATGGCCACAAAATGCAAATTGTATATCAAGAGAAAAGAACAACAACAGCGAAACAAAGTCCCACACTGGTTTTCTCCGTTTAATGCAGTAACCGTAATTTCATGATCCTCGTAAAAGCAAAGGCACAACTCCCGAACTCAATTCTGGGCTCAATTCGACCCAATTCCGAGGCCAACTCTAGGGCCTAGAACACTTCCTCCTCGTTCCCTTAACCTCCTGCCTTCCATTAATCCTCTCAAGCCACGCTTCTGTAGGCCAATGACAGCACTAACGTCCCCTTTCCAGATTTCTTTTCCATTGGCATCATTTCGGGCGTCGGCATCATTGGTTGAATTGCTTAGATCCGATCCGGAAATGTCACTTGCCACACTTGAAGAAGCGCTGAGAGTCTCTTCGTCATCTCGCTTCCTACCGCCGGCTCCTGTACCCAGATTGCCTACAGATGTGTTGATGCGCAAGTTTTGTTGGCCCGTCCCAGATGAGTCTCCGCCAAACTGGCCAAGTTGAAGAACCGGAGGTCCTTTCGATGCACCTGATCCATCAAAATCCGAAGATAGCCAGTTCTCGCCAAATGCTGATGAACTAGTAGATCTTCCACCACCAGCAGCCATTGCCGTTGCATTGAATACCGCTGCCGCATTCCTGGAATCCAAAACCCCATGAAGGCGCTCAACTACCGCCTCAAGAAGTCCATCGATTTTGTAAGGGCGAGCTAACTGAAGAAGGGAACATAGAATCTGAGGAGTACACAGATATGAGTTTGAAGGTGGGAGTGAAGATGTGTAAAGGTATTGGAGGAGTGCTTGAAGAGTTAGATGAGTGTGTGGGAGATATAGTGTCCGAGGTCTTGTGGTCGGAGATAGTTTGTTGGCATCCGGTGGATTGTTGCGCAGATAACCATCGACGGACTGGTGTGACGAGTTTATGCTCTGCCCTGAATGATTGTTGAGGGTGGATGAAGTGGACATATTGGAACTCAAACTGGGGGTAATAGTAACACTGCTGTTCCTACTTGGGTTCGACCTCATACCATCTCGGACCGTTGCAGCATCATTCCCGTCTTGATTAGCTGCACCCTCGAGGAGAAGTTGCACAAAATATGGTCCCCATCTTCGAGCCACGAGGCGAGAATTGACAGGAATTCTTTCACCTCCTACGCAGAGGATATCCATATCTGCAAATTCTTTCAGCCCAAGAGCACTTTGGCCCAACTCCTCTGCGGCCCTTGACAAGGTACGCCCGCTTGCAGTCCCGCCAGCTTTCAAATTCAGATTCATGGACGGAGCTGTGTAAGGTGCACTCGCTGAAACGAAACCTGACATGGGTGCGACTTTTCGTGGGTTGTCATATAATCCAAAAGCTTCCAACTCGACCATACAAACATTGGAGAAGTTGATTCTGCGGTGGTTATAGTCCTCTACTAAACTGCGTTTTCGATTTCCCAGTATAACAAAAGTGTTTCTTCGACCCCATAGAACTCCACGATTCCAGCTTCCCTGGCTGAAAACATTTCCACCAGCGTCGATTCGACTCCAAGTTAAAGTTCTTAGATCAAGGGCCCAAAGGGCATACTCTTGTTTAGACGAGGTTAGATATGTACCGCTGACAACAAAATTCGTATCAATAACTCCACCGTTCGGGAAGCGAAGACCCGGTGGTGAGAAAGTGCCTTGCATAGGCTTCTCAGCTAGCGTGCCATCTGAAGACCGTATCTGAAGTTCCAACTTGACGTCCAAAAAGTTGTAATTGGAGTAAATCAGCATTGAAGAACCAGGCTCCTTGGCATCTTGGCTGAAGTTATTGTTTTCCGGTCTTGGAGAACTCTTGCCAAGCCTTGCAGTAATGCTGCTTGGAAGAGGGGAAACAACACTTCGATAAGCACCACAGCTCTTGCCCAGTTGTTGTGTACTCGTCCACTTCAAGCTCCTTAAGTTAAAAACACTAATCTGCTCAATGTAATGGTTTGCGCTGTCCTGACCTCCAACAACTACCATTTCTGCCCCTCCACTTCCATCGATATTGACACCAATAGTGCCTTGATTTGGATTTGATCCACCTGGATTATGCTGCAGTGCTGAGCTCGCCGCGTTGGTTGATGAAAATGTAGCAGATGATGGAAGAATAGTGGCACAGTGTGCATATCGTCCTTGTGGGGTTTCCTGTGTTGGTATGTATGACCACGTCCTCGTGGGGGCGTCATAGATGTATATATCAGACATTACTACAACTTCCGCTTGAGCTTCCGCTCCCTGTGTAGCAGCTACCGGGACCTGTCCTTGGGCTGATGCGGGAGACATTCCTCCATAACAGACAAGTTTTGTGTCACCTAATGGACATACACTATGGAAATAACGCGGAGGGGGTATGTCTCCAGATGCGTTGATCTTTGTCCAATGCCGACGAATGAGATCCAACTCATATAGATCCGAGGTCAGCGACTGTCTCGTCCTTGATAATATCCTACCACCAAACACATACAGCTTATCGCCTAGAATTGTGGTTGTAGCGCCTACGAGTGGGTGTGGTTCTCGTCCGGTAGTCCGGTGAACATTGCACATCAGACCAGAGAGATGTTGAGGTGGTGCTGCCGCCGATTGGCTTCCTAATACTTGTCCCCCAGTGGAACGTGGTTGTGCTGGAGATGGGCCGGCAGATGGCGGGCCGTTACTGCGCGGAGTCATAGCATCTTGAGAATTATCTTCCGTGTCCTGCCTTGTCGAGGGTTGGCCGCCATTGGTATTATCCCCATAAGCATTTGATGGCTGCTTAAAGGCGCCTCCCGCGTAGTTTTGGCCACCAGATGTACTCGAGTCCATGGTACTCGTTCGGCTGCCGCTCGCGGCCTGTCGAGACATCACCGCCAAAGGTTTGGGTGTTTCGGGAGGTGAAAAAAAATTTGGAGTACGTGTGTCGGGCTCAGGCTCAGGTTCAGGCTCTGGAGGGGGTGGAAGGGGTTTGTCTTTGTCTGTATTACTTATATTCTGGGCATGCTTCTCATTGAAGGCTTTTGGTGATGGTTCGCTGGGGGTGACGGTGGGTGTTGGTTCAATACTTGGCGAGAGTCGGCGTTCTCCAACTCGTATATTTGGTGGTGCTTTATTCCGACCTCCTCGCCCTGATACTGATCCGAATCTTTTGAAGCCCCGTTTGACACCAGCAAGAAAGTCGGGTCTCTCAGGAGACGATGGCTCCTCGTCGTCGAACCTGGACTCGGAGGGTTTGGAATTGGGTGCGCCTGTGGGCTGCAGTGTCTGCAGTGTCAGCTGCTTGTCCATGATCATACATGACTACACTCCAAGGCAACAATGAGAGGAGCTGATGTAGAGACAGAGGAGAAGGACATGTCGGAGACCCAACAGATGATGGGATGTCCAAGAAGCTACGTGAGAGGAGATGGGGCGGTCTTACTAGGAAATCTCACGACTGGCTAGAAGGGTGCTGGTGCTCAGATCTTTCTCCGCCAACAGAGCCAGGATATGGGATTAGGTGCCAGGACAAATATGGATCGTGGAAGAAGCGGCAGGGCCCTAGAGTTTCCCACAACGTGGTACAAGAGCTAGTCTCCCACTGTCTGCGTAATGTAAGGCAATCGGACAGGTAGTAGTAGCGCTTTGGTAAATAGGTGTGCTGTGCAGTGCAGGGCCACGACGGGGTGACTGGGTGGAGTCGTAGGGGATGAGGGTAGCGTAGCGTGAGTAGTAGCGAGTTTAGCGAGTCTTGTCAGCAGGTCGGTGTGGTGTCAGTCTACTGTACGAGTAGGTAGATCTTAAATGCAATTGTCCGGCAGTGGCAGTGGCAGCTTGTTGACCAATGGTTGCTTCCTGGTCGAATTGACAGGTCGGTTGGTCTGTTGGTACGAACAGGTGGGTAGGTATGGGGTAGTGTCTCAAACGTGGCGCTGAGGAGCTACTCAGCCGCCATCTAGCCGCTAAAAATGCTTGCATAGTTGGAATGCTTAACTAGCGCATGAATGGTATTCAAAAGGTTTGATGCTGGTTGAACTCAATACAGACGCTGGAAAGTGTCCGTAACTTAGCTATATTTACAAGCCTAAAAGACGGTCCAGTGACACGCTGATATTGTGAACGCAAGTACAGTACAATACTACACAATACAGGCACACCTCCGTGGGTTGCAGTGAATTGTTGAAGTGACACTCCAGCACAGTACCTACACTTTGACTTCCAGGGGTACATTCCAAGTGAGTGGCTCTGGGTCTCTGCCATCTGGCTCGGATTTCCAAGATTGGAGCGGATGTGCAGGGTCTTTACCAGCCGATCCAAAGTCTCAGAGCACCCAACAAGGAAGCGATCATAAACCTATGGACTTCGTATTGTTCCCAACTTCCCTCAATTGTGTATAACTCTCTGCCTCAATCCTTGTCTTAAAGCGGCAGGCTGCAACTACCGATAGGAGCCCGATGAAGCGCCTTCCAGAAGAAAGGAAGCAATTCGGATATCTCAACCTTACTTACCGAGTACTCTGGGCATGGCCTGATATGATACTCCGTAGTCTCCGTTCATTACAACTTCACCTGCAATTGATTTCTTGACCGACTCCCAATCATAGGCAAGCTTTCCCATATAATTCTTATCTTGCCTATCGAGACACAGCAAGATGCACGAGATGCCTTTACCAACCGCTCGGGCGGTCTTTCTTCCAAATCACAATCTCAATCCCCGCAACTGCTGCAGAAGTGCATGCGTAGCGACATCTACGGCAGTTTGTCCTCTTGTACTCGAGTAGGAACCGCGAGAGAAAACTGAAGACTCTGCCGTCTGACTGGCCAGAATCCCAAGAATCACAATAACAATAATGCACGCCGAGTGTGCAAGTGGAGCGAATAGATGAAGTCTTGACAATGAATGATTTGAGGCTTTCTCGATGTGCCTGGTTCTGTCTGGAAAGTCTTTCCCCACCGCTCAGCACGTGTCTGATAGAGGTAACTTTCCGCTGCCAGATCATGGGCTCATTGGGTTTCGTCCTCTTTTTTTGTCGAGTCTCTTGGTCGTCGGGGTTTCTATGATAAACTCTGTCAATCATGTCTTCTAGGTTGTCGATTTTCTCTTTTGATGTTTTGGGCGGGTTTTTACCCGGGCGCCGGGCCTCAAGGGATAGTTCAAAGCGTGCTGTACTGTAATGACTGGTTGGTGCAGATGAGCTCCACCTTATTCCCACCAGCGAAGGTCAATTAGTCCGCTGAGCTCTTCTGGAATATCTACGGAACGCCACATGAACGTGCTGAGTCCCAAATCCCGCGGCTATGCCTGGTTCTAGAAGATGCCATTCATTCATTTCCCATTCATGTTTTTGCAGATTGCAAAGCAGAAAAATGATACATCACTTGCACCTAGTAGGCTTCAGGCCTTTACCCATTTCCAAGTAGCGGGGACGGATATCAAGCCGAACCGTCGATCCAGGTTGCAAATTCTAATACTTCGTACGTCTTGGACTAGAACTTGTGGTTGACACTGGCTGTTTCATGTGGATATGATGAATGAAGATCTAATTCATAGCACAACTACAACGCAGCTGCCCAGTGGAAGATATAATTCTCATCTTCAATGGCTTCCGATAAAAGTGACTAATCTCGATCAAAAGCAACTTTGCGGTGCAGATCAGAAATGGTGGCAAATACTTCGTAGTCTGTTGCTCAAGCTTGTCAGAAAACGTTTTAAACAAATGAAAGCCCGCATTTCCACCTCCACCTCCACAACTTGATGTTCTGAAAAGTCGAGGTTGATATCTTGATTACTTTAGAATTCTGGAACAATCAATACAGTTATCTCAAAACGGAAGAGTCATGAAAAGAGTCGTTTATTACCACTTTCTATGTCCACCACAGGGAATTTGCATTTTATATCTGCTAGCAAAGGTGTAGGATACTCCGTATATAGCTATCACAGGGGGCATTTCTGGTTGAGAAACTCTACTCTAAAGCTCTGGCTATTTTCCCGTGAGATGATTACAGGACGGGCGGGACAGAATAGTGACAACTCACTCAATCTACTCCAAACTCGTTTTCGTATTGAAACTGATCTATCGAACGTCTACGGCAATCAAAAACAGCAAACTCGGAACTAGTCATCAAATTTACACAAGTGCAAAATCATAATACGAGGTATGATTTCATTCCCAAAAAAGACATGAAAAAATCTCCGAGCCTTCCTTATCCACACGTGGTTTCGCTTGGCATCATCAACCCCAAAGCCGTTTCTTGCATCCGGTCAGATTAGGTCACCACCAGTCACTCCTCTAAAACCAACTAGGCACTCTACTCTGTCCACGGAGATATCCACGACCCCCAACCAAACACCTTCACAAACCCCTCACCTCCAACTCCGAAACAACGACAAATTATGGATCTAGCCTACGACCACATCCAAGAGGAGACCCTCGCCCCCGGTCCCGAGGCGGCCGAAAAGAAAGAAAAGCAACCTGAAACAACAACCCTCAATTCCGACTTCCAAGAGGCCTACAAAGCCATATCCGCCAGTCCCTGGGGCGCGCGATTGGGCGGTTTCTTCGGGAGTGTGGTCAAGCAGGTTGGTGTTCCCTCTTCTCCTGCGTACCTTGGTGAGGGGTTTGTGTTGATGGGAGTCTTAGGGCGAGAATGTGTATAAAGAAGCATCTACAGAACTCTCGGCCGTGCAGGAGGAAGCCACGAAAGGATTTACGGACTTGAAATCTTCGATTATCAGTCGCACGCGAGCAATATCCACTGCGCAGAACCCAACGACCGGTGAGGCATCTACGGAGACGAAGGAGGGGGAGAAGGAGGTTTCTTCTGATGACGCTTTGAAGGAATCGGAGGGTGTGCTTGCGAGACTCCGCACGGAGGCTGCGAAACGGTTAAAGGATATCCAACATGCGGAAGATGCAGCAGACGAGGCGCTCTTGAAATTCGGCACGAATCTCAGAGACTTCTTGAAGGATGCTGTTAGTATTACACCAGCGACTGCGGAAGATAGTAAAGATGGGAACACGGTATTGTTTGAAAGCAAAGATGCGTCCGGGAAGCGAGTAATTCATACCACACGATTCGATGCACAACTACATGTTATACATTCGTCACTCGATAGTTTCACCAAGGATCCGGTTAGTGAGGAGTATGAGCCTTGGACGAAGACTTTTGATGTGGCGAAGAAGACGGATGATATCAGCAAGGACTTGGAGAATTTTAATGAATTGAGAGCGTCTATGGAGAAATTGGTTCCGGATACGGTCAAATACGACGATTTCTGGAAGCGGTACTACTTTCTGAGACACAGTATTGAGACTGCTGAGGCGCGGAGAAGGGATCTACTCAAAGGTATGTCTATATCAGACTTCATGGTTATTTTCTGATGTCTAACTATCATCAGGTGCAGCTGCCTCAACTGAGGAAGATATTGCTTGGGACGAAGATTCTGAAGATGAAGCCACAACTAAGACCACCAAAGCAAAAGAAGCAGGCAGGCCAGCTTCTGCAGAGTCATCCACAACCCTTCATCCCGCTACAGAGACAGCCGATAAAACTCTTCTTGCCCCAGAAGGGGCTCGTAAATCCGACGAAAAATCACGAGCCGACAGTGATGGCAGTTATGACGTTGTTGGAGCCGCTTCTGGAGTGCCAAGTCATGCTCCAAATAGTCCGAAAGAATCTCGAAAGGGCGATGATAGCGAGGATGAAGATTGGGAGTAAGAAGGCTGATTCGTGGCGATCATTGTTTTCTGGCGTTGAAGCTTCCCTGGGGAGTATTAGGTTAGGCGACTCCTTTTTGGTCACTGAGGCTCTCTACAATTTCCCGTAGAGAATTTGTAATCCATGTTGATATCCCTCCCTTTTTTGGTATCTTTTGGACGCCGTTTTTATCCCTATCCAGAAGTTTATCTCTTCTTTTTCGTGACCTTCGTAAATCCATCTTCATCCACCTCCGCCGGTTCCTTGACCCTCACCAACGGCGGCGCCTCATCCATCTCCACATCAGCACCTCCTTCGTCATCCTCATCCGATCCACTCGTCTCGTCCTCGTCCTCCCCTCTCTCCTTCTTCTCAAACATCTTCCCCACATCCTCCTTCCCAGCTTTCGCATCCCACCTCTCCTTCATTCCTATCACCTCCCCGAACTCCCCTTTCGTACAGTCCTTCTTAATCCTCATGACCTGCTCCGCGACCTCGAATCCACTCTCATCGTCCACATTTACTTCGAATTCATCCAGCATGACTCCTAGCAGGAATTCCTCCAACCATTCGGCGTCTGCGTCGGGTGTCTCGTTCAAGAGGTCGATGGTCTGCTGCGCGAACCATTCACGCTTGGAAGCCGAGTCGGGACCGCCCCAGGAGTTGGTTACGGCGAGGGTGAGGGAGGGCCAGAGGAAGAGGGAGAGGGTGCAGCCGAGTTCGAATTGGGCCTGGCATTTTGCTTTGGTGGAGTTCGGTTAGTTTAGATTTCTTTTTGATTGTTTAAATATCTGGGTATGCGATGAGAGCAGTTGGATACCTGGTGATGGCGCAGATTGCGCGCTTCCTGCGCCATTGGACTCCATGGTGAGGTTTTTGTTTTTGGGGTGGTGTTGAGGGATGGGATTTCTGGTGTTGGAGGGGTAGTAAATTTTTATGTACGAGCATGCATACGGAGCACGGCTCGCAAAGCGGCGCTAGACTTTGCCGTGGCCGCCGTTATCAAAAGAACCGTTTGATTTGGAACGAGGTTGAAGGTGATCTTCCGAGGTACGGAGTTTACGGTACTTGTGAGGAAGAATAAAATCGATTACTTAAAAGAATCAAAGAAATATTTGATTTATGATCCGGAGTCATTCTGCGTTATGAAATGGTGTCTGGTAATTAGAACAACGAGATTTGTTCACTGCTGATGGGACGGATGATCAATACTTGGTACCTATGAACTTGACAGCGGAAGCGGGTCTGTAATCAGCCAAATGACGTGGATCGATGGTTGCCGGGGCCGGGGGGGGAAATTATTGGGAAATACATCCAGCCAGCTCTGAGCTCTCGACTCGAGTCGGCACTTCTCGAGTAATTGTGCTCGTACGGGGTACTTTTGTGGATTTCTTATTCCCCTACCTCCGTAATGTCTAATTCCTGGTTGTCTTGTCTGTCACTTAACAACTAATACATACTACTACTTTGCGCAATTCACTTACTCCAGACCAGTGTTTTGACCACCCAGGCATAGGCATCTTGGCCCCTTTGTCTGCTCAACTTCCTACTGGTCCTACGAGAGCTCAAAAGCAACGTGGAAAAGAAGCAAAAATGCCTCTTAACACACTCACCGTCGGATTTGCAATTACTCCTGCTGTCATCCAGACTTTTGTCGCTCATGTAAGTTCCTTCCACAGCATCTTCTTCACCCACAAAACTAACCAAACCAGTACATTAATCGCAAACCACTCGCCCAAAAGCCAACAGCGCATATCTCCTACCACGAAGGCCTAGAACTAATACGAAAGTTTCTCCTATATGCCTCCCACCACCCAGTTGAAGACCTACAACGCTTCACGGGCCAATGGGTACCCCATCCCGCCTGGGTCAAAGTCGACGAAGTGAAGATCCCCGAGGAATATATTGAGAGATCTGCCGAGGCGATACAGGAGCAATTGGGGCCTCGCGGTATTCAAAAGGTTGGTGGGAAGACATGGTGGCAATGGAGAAGGCCGGGAACTGAATTGGAGGCGGAGTGGATTGAGATGAGGAGTGATTATAATGAGAGGAAACGAACGAATGGGAAGTCTAAGAGGATTGTTTTGTATGTGCACGGAGGCGCGTATTTCTTTGGGAGTGTCGATGAGCATAGATTTATTATGCAGAGGATAGGGAGAAAGCTACAGGCTAGAGTTCTTGCACGGTATGTGTTTTCCTGGTTATCTTGGGGAATATTGACTAATTGGTGGTAGTGAGTTATGAAGAAATGTTGATGACTGGGGGTATACTAATAAAGTGTAGCACGCTATCGATTGGCGCCTCAATTTCCCTTCCCGTGCGGTTTGCACGATTGTTTAGCAGTATATCTCTTCTTACTTTCTGACGGTCAAGATCCCTCTACAATTATCTTGGCTGGAGATAGTGCTGGTGGAGGTATGGTGTTAAGTATGCTTGTCATTCTACGAGATCGTGGTATTCCACTACCAGCTGGTGCTGTTCTTATTTCTCCTTGGGTGGACTTGACCCATTCATTCCCAAGTCTTTCTGGAGATGCCCAACAAGATTATATACCCGCACATGGGTTCCACCATAGTCCTTCTCCAGCATGGCCACCTCCTAACTCGGACGATATGCTTGCTATGGAAGAAGACATTGTCAGAAAGCTTGCTCACCAAGACACTGGAGCTGCTCCCTTGCAAACCGAGCAAGATGCAGTCCAAGGTTTCCACGTGGATCATCACCCAGAGGCTGGGACTAAAAATGATTCTGCTGCTACGGGAACGGCTACAAACGATGGCACTGGAAAAGAAGCGAATACCGTTCCTGGGATGGGCCATGACCTTTCCATAATGATTGATGGGAACCTCGTTGAAATCAAGGATCAGATACAACTGTACACACATAACTCACTAATAGCACACCCTTTGGTTTCTCCAGCATTGGCACCATCCCTAGGAGGTCTACCTCCCTTGCTCATCATGGTAGGTGGTGGAGAAATGCTTAGGGACGAGCAGATATATGTTGCCCACAAAGCTGCCAACCCAACACAGTATCCACCAGACGATGCTTTCCTAGATGAAAATCCGAATGATCACAACAGAGATCAGATCAACCGATGGAAGCCCACAGATGTTCAGCTGCAAGTATGGGACGACCTATGTCATGTAGCGCCTACTTTGAGCTTTACGAGGCCTGCAAAATTCATGTTTCGATCAATAGCTCAATTCAGTGCATGGGCTTTAGCGAGAGCCCAGAAAACCGAAATTGAGATATTGGACGATGATGATGTTTCGGTCATCTCACGCTCTGACTCTGACGAGGAGAATGGAGGCGAGGAGAAGTTAGTTGAGGGTGAGGTGCTCGATAGTGTTGGGAAAGCTGGAGATCCTCTTCCTCCGTTCAAGAACCATATGATTCGACAAAAGGTCGACCGTCATGGGCACTTGTTTCCTCTTGAGTCGGAATCAGAACTCCCAGGATGCTGTATGTCTCCCGCGGACATTGGAGTCATCAAAGAAGGTCCTGTCAAGAAATGGATGGCGGTCAAGAAGGAATGGGATACCAAATTTGCACACCAAAAACGAAGAGTTCAAAAGAAACGAGCTAAGGAAATGGCCGAGGGCTACCAAGAGTTCGGCAATGGGGAGGTCCCTCCCCCCTCTGCTTTGGCTGGACGAAGGAAGACTGGCGAGGAACTGAAAGCAGACAAGAAGACGAAGAGTTGGGGAATGAGTCTTTGGGGTATTTGGGGTAGCAAACACGATGAAAAGACCATGGTTCGCGAACGAGAAGCGGATACAGCACCCGAAACCGCGACTGCTACACCAGCCGATGGTGCTGGAGCACGAGGACTTCACGACATCGAAACCCCCAAAAAGCAGAAACGCCTCTCCAAATCCGAATTGAGCCGTTCCCACTCCCGTCGAAGAACAGTCACAGATCAGAACCAAACAGGCTGCCGAGACGAAAGTATCCCCCCTCGCCTCTCCCTCGATGGACTTTACGACTCTCACGACGAAAGTCCCCCCTGGGATCAACCCACCAGCTCCCGTCCTGCGATCCTCGTTCAAAAACCCTCGTTCAATCTCGCGGATGGCGATGACTTTGATCGAAAGAGACCCAAGGCGGGCGGTATCGCCTTCCCGTTTACCCTCAATAATCACAAGGCGAGTGTGAGTATGACGACGCTTACTAGTGAGGAAGCTTTCCCTCCTGGTGAGGATGTGGCGATCCCTGGGGCGAGGGAGAGTGGGTATACGCCGAGGTCTTCGGGGGATGCGCAGAGGGAGGGGGAGGCAACGAGGGCGAAGGGAGGTGAGAAGGGGAGTGAGAAGGATGTTGTGGTTGTGCAGGAGGGGGCGGAGAGGCCTGAGTTGGAGACTTTTGTTACGGCGTTGGATGTTAGATTGGGGCTTTGAACGGCCTTTGTACAAACCAGCTCAGGGAGGCGGGAAAGTTGAGGTTGCCAATGGATAGCGGTGAGGTTTTGGATTGCGTGATAATTTTATACCCCAGATGGGAAGTAGTCCTTTTTTTTTTCTTTTTTTGTTACCTTCTTCATTCTGAGCGAGCGAGCGTAGACCCTTGATGTAATAATTCTTTGAAGGCATAATATTTTGCGTCTTGGAGGGAGAGGGACTTCGAACAGCTGGGCTGGTTTCGATGAGTCCTGTCCTGTCCTGGGTTACATACCAAAACATATATAGGAATTTAATAATAGGAACTAAGATCTTACTCACATACCTCCACGCTGTTCCAATATCTGGTGTTTTATTGAGTGCGTACTGTGTGGTTAGTGTGTATTATGAATAGGGTCTTGATTTCTTTATATGGTAAGTGTTGAGTGTTTCTAGGTTGCTTTGATGTGCTCTTAGTATAACTTGCTCGTGCTTGAAATAGGGGTTCTTCCTGGTGTAGGGTTGGTGGATCTTGGGTCTCGAATATCGAGTTTGGAAGTAATATGATCTGATGTATCAATCTTCCAATTATCCTTGGACTTTGGTACAGTAAATTCTGATTCTGGAGGTGTAATGGATAGGTACTGTATCGATGTAGAGTACTGTCAAAGCGAAGCTGGAGCTCACTCTGTTTCCTTTCATACCCTGAAGAGAAGAAGAAGGAATCACGGTATTTTAGAGGTGGTCGCTAGTAGATAATATGTATTATGTATTTTCTCTCTCTCCCTTCTTCGTTCACTGATTGCTCTGGCTTGGATTGAAACTCGGGGCTGGGTCATATATTCCAAGTGATAATTATAGGTTCTGATGCTAAGAAATGATGGAGTGAAGTAGTGGGATTGTAGAAGGGGGTTCTGCTGGGTTTGGTTTGCTACCCGTGGGGTTTCTGGGGATGGGCGGAAGTTAGGGAGTGATGTGGATGTTTCGTTAAGGGTTAAGGGTTCGATAATTGGATGATTGGATGGTTGTCGGAACTTTCTTCGCACTTTCTAGAGAGTGAGGTGGCGAGGGTTGTTATTGTTTACCTAGATTAATTGAGGTAGTTAGTTTCGTTCTCTGGTGATGTTTAGTTAGGCATTACCGTATTATTATCATCCTAGTCGTTTGGGAGAATTGGGTTTTTTTGTTGAGAGATGGGATGATGAGGTATTTATTCACTGCTACTATTTTTTCTTCCTCTCCTTTTGGTTCACATGACCTGAGCTCCTGTTCTGGTTTACTTGCCTGTTGTGAGGGAGGCCATTCTTGGAGTTAGGGCACTTGTTGGTTGAAGTGGGAATTGGGAGTTGGGAATTGGGAATTGGTTGTCTGTAGACTAGTGAGTTGTACGTGGCTCGCTTAGGACAGTGAATAGCATTGGGGGGGAACAAGGGGTAGTAAGTTATACCATCAAGGGTTAAGAGCAGTGAATCTATTTGGTTTAGCGTTGAAACTTGCTATCTATCTACTCTGTGTATTCATCTTAACCTTATTTTGAATTGGTCATTGTACGCTCCTTAAAATGCTCTGACAGAGGATTAGAGTGCATTTTTATGTTTTCTTTTTCAAGTTTATGAGATGGATTATAACAAAGTGTTGGCTGTTTTTATGTTATGGGATGTTTGGCAAAGTTTGAGAGATTAGGAGGAGACTGAGTTGAGATAATCTTGCAGAGAGGGAAGGGAGGAGGTTCTAGGGTGGTGGCAAAAAAGATGGAACTTCACACAGACGGCCTTGTCTTTTTGAAATGTACGTTTCTTCTAACCCACTGTGCGTTTTTGAGGGGCATATTTGATGTAAACGATCACAATAGGTGGAATTGTTACTCAAGGGTTAGGTCTGTCTTCTTGGGGAAGTGCTAGGTTATAGGTGATTGATTCCGGAAAGTATAGACTCTGTACAAGTCAGAGAATACACTGGTGTAGTCTACAGCAAGAGTTGTCTCCTTAGATCTTATATAAATGTGTCTTTTTCTGTCGTCGCTGTACGAATGCTCAAAGTTGCCAAAAAGGGGAACAATTTACTGTAGGAGGGAGAACTCAATTAATTTCTATAACCTTCCACAGAGATATTAACATACGTACCGACTGGGCCTTTCATTGGTATGGAGAAGGAAGATTTTACGTGCAACGTTCTAAAGGTTAAAGATTTGGATTATAAAAATATTAATATGGAAGTACATACGCACACCCAAATTTGCACTTCCTGATCATATCCAAACTTCCAAAGTTCCAAACAGGAAAGAAATTCATTCATAATTCGTGAGAGCGTCCCAAGGGAAGTCTAATAACGTAGGAAAGTGCATTCCCAGTGACCGGTATATCGAACCAGCATGAAAACAATTTAGACAAGACATGACCCTGGATGGGTAAAAGAAAAAGTGAAATAGTAATGAAGCGAGATCGCCTAGTCGAAAAATTAGACTTCGTGCTGTTCTTCCATAGACTTCGTTCCCAACAACCCCCAGCCATTCAAAAATAGAAAGGCATGAACATGGAGAGTGATGATCTATTTGGAGGAATGTCAGTAATTTTCCAAACTTCTCGGAAAATAGTTGTATCATCTGTATAACCCTTTGGCTTTCAGAATGCATCAAGTGGCTGAACAATTCAAACCTCAGATGATGTGGCAGACATCGTAGAGAGTCCTGAATCCGACCTCGATGTCACCATCGAAAATGTAGAGCTTTTCTCGCTTAAGGTCATTGACTGTTTTGTGCTCTCGTATTCTTTCCACCAATTTGCATTGACTTTTCTAGGCAGGAGATTCCAAACCGAAAGAGAATCTTCCTCTTCTTGAGTCGGTCGTAGTTTTGCGTAAGCCCACATTCTACGATCAGTCTCTCCGCGAAAGGTGTTTGGGACTCTTCTAACACGGATTGAGTCGCCGACTTCGGTTTCGTCACAGCCGAATCCGCGGACGACGAGCCATGTACTGCCAACTAGTAATGCGACGGTGAGAAGTTGCGTGACCAGATTACATTGCGCTTGGATCACATGAACACCAAAGAACAACCATCCCACTCTTCTCGTCCAGGTATAGAATAATGGGTTGATAGGAGCTGGAACTTTCAGGAATCCGTTGGTGACCAGTCCTCGAGGAGCGTACATTGTGACCAAGTTCCCATTATCGAGCGTAACGAGTACCTTCACTTGTGTCATTTGCTGAGATGTATAACATGCGTTTTGACAAGTTTGATTGAGACCCAGATTGTTTTCTCTGATAAGGTACCAGCGCACGAAAACGGAGACTAACAAGGCGATGGAGTTTGCGACGCCCCACCAATCGCCCATCAAGATGGTCAGAGCGAGCATAGCGGTGAGTATTGAGCCTCCAATGAGGATTGAAATTCCTCCTTTCTCACGCTGTCGGTTGTTTGGGAGAACATTCCATTCGAAGACTGTTGTACCTGTCTTCAAGTCTTGGGAGCTTAACCATCGACTGAACCAGCCAGCGAAACTGGTTGTTGTGATTGCGTCGGTGACATTGTAGAGTGTGAACCCAGGGACCGCTGTTGTGAACTGGTTGCCAGATATGAGGTATTCTGTACAAAACATTAGTATCTGTGAATATATCGGAAGATGAGTCAAGGGATCCAACGCGGAAAAGAGACATTCTCTCGGCTAATGAAATAAAATCTTAGAGAGGGAAGATAGAAAGTAGTTGCGTACGGCCAAGTAATGGGAGGAATGTCGTGTATTTACTATCAACGAGTCGGCCGATTGCTTGGTTCACTTCTTCTGCCCCGATGAGCGTGACGAGCCCGAGGGCGTCTAGACGTAAGGGACTCCAGTGCATTAGATTGTGAAGAGGCATCGTAGCTGTTGATAATGGAGCCATTAGAAAAGATCAATTTATTCACGTGAAGAAAAATGAGAATTTTCACGTGGAAGTGATGGGAAAGATATACAAACGTACGCCAAATTTGAGAGAGTCTTATTATATGGTCTCGATGAGTATATGGTCAAGATAAGGCTTCAGTGTAATTCCTGTGCATCTGTAAGACCTGATGCAACCATGCAGACCGAATTATACAAAAGAGCTGCGAGGAAGAATGCCAGCGGAAAATATGGCCTCGTGGTGAACCCTTTATGAAGCCTATCATGTCGCCACACGTCAGAATATGTGCCCCAACGCCCGGGTAAGTTAGTAAATGAGCTTAGACTTGAGGTCTTTTTGACAGATCTTTCAGTAGCTCTTTCCAAAACATCGTGATCGCTTCCGAACTTCTATGAGTCTGGATTAGCCCACTGAAAGAGATTCTACACTGCCACCACTGAAAAGGAAGGCAGCAAACATCGATCCTCTGGAGAAAACAGATCTGCTCAGCCTTCATTCAGAGTTGCACGTCAAATTTACCCCGCATTTGGCTTACCACATTTGGTTCACCGAAAAAAAGCATCAGGTAATTTTGTTCAGGATGTGGTTACATTACGGCTTGGATCGAAACAATATCATTGGCTTAAGCGAACTCAGCCCCTTTTTACCCGCCTCTGCCTTAATTTTGAGGTCTGGTTACATTTTGCGGCGCAGTGAGCACCTTTTCTAGTCTAAAAAATTGAGGAGATCAGACCCCCAGCATAGACGATTTGTTTCCCTTTCTCCTTTTCTTTGCTTACTGAATAATCTCACTCAGATGAGGCTCTGCTGTAGCCAATCATACGGCTGGAAGATTGTAAATCGTTATCACGGAATAAGCCTCGAAGTTAGAAAGAAGTCCAACTTTGTGGAGATTCCTCCTCTCACTATACGAGGAAACTGGAAGTAACAGTGTATCTGTGGTTTTTATTTGTAAGCTCTTACTGTGGGGAGTTTTTTTTTTTTGGAATACTGTTTGATTGCTAGTTATTCGAAGCAGTTCGGGGTTACAATTTTCTGCTTACTAACATTTTTTAGCCTAATCTCCAAGCTGATCTTCCTCTGGTGCATATAATTGCTTTGTCTTCAACAATGGGGCTTATGTGATTCAGCTTGCAGCCACTTTTGCATGGGTTCGTTTATGGTTGTGATCAGATCGAGGCTCTAATGATGGGCATTAAAAGCGGCATAATGAATATCTCGCTGTTCGATTTAGGGAGTAAATCAAATTAATTGTCTGGATCCTGGAAGAAAGAATGAAAACTTTCAAAGCTATGGAATAATTACACTTGTTTATTGCGGAAGATGTGAGTTGTTGCATACATAGCAGAACGTAACTTACGGGTACTTTCCAATGCTGCTTTTCGTTTTTGTATTTTTAGACCCTGATATTGTGGAGTTTCTTGGGGTCTATTTGTGCCACAGAACTTGAACGGGCTCGAGTTCGTTCAAAAGTTCATATGGCTGGCAGTGACAGGGGCCAGATTCTTATCAGCCACATTGAGATGCATTACCAAACACCTCGAGAGTGGTTTCTGATAAAACTAACAAGATCCGCGGATACTTTCTTTGTTCCACTCAAAACTTCTGTCCGAACAATCAAGATGTCCGACTCCGACTCCACCTACACCAGCGATAGTCCCAGCCGAAAGAGGAAGAGAACCAGCCGCACACGCAATCCGAGAAAGAAGCCCCATACGGGTGCGCGTGAGCTCGCAGAAGGCACCTCTCACACTTCTAAAGCTGCGGAATTGGCACGTAAACACCTTGCGAAGCTGAAAAGCAACATTCTCAATGAACTCGACTACGAAGATACCTATGTCTATACTCCACTTAAGGAAGGCACAGGGGAAGACATCCGGGTCTTAGTTATTGAGCCAGGCAAGAAAGATGATCCAATAAAATGCAGACTGGTCTCCAGTGCTCTACCAAACACCCCCATGACGCCGCAGACGACTGCCTCCTATCCATATACTGCGCTTTCATACTTCTGGGGCGAAGGCAAGCCAATACACCCAATCACTATCTCCACCTACAAAACTCCGACAAAACGTTTGAAGAACATATCGAAGCAAGAAAAAGTGCACTGCCTGTTCGCAAAACACCAGCACTGGTGCAATACGGGTATTATACACGTCAGATCAAATCTTTTCGTGGCACTGCAGAGGTTTAGGGATGAGCATGAGAAAAGAACCATGTGGATAGACGCTTTGTGTATTGATCAAAAGGATGGACACGAACGAACGGCCCAAGTTAAAAAGATGCATGAACTCTATATTCAAGCAAACAAGGTCTCTATCTGGCTCGGAGACGGGAGCTCGCCGGACCAGCCAGAACCCAAGCCTTGCTTTCGGTTCCTGCGCAAGCTGCTCGACCTCAACGGACTGGACCAATTACTGAGAAACCTCGCAAAGAACAAATCAAATCTCATCGAACACGCCAACGACATCGTTAGCCTTATGCGCAATAAATGGTTTAGTCGCCGCTGGGTGGTCCAAGAACTCGCACTTGCGCGGCCCGATCAAGCTGAGGTGGTGTATGGGGTACGCAACACTTCACCTTAATTTTCACATCCCACTAACTCGTTGCAGAACCAAGATATAAAATGGAGTGATTTTAGTGACGCAGTCTCAATTTTCATTAAGAGCCAAGATCGCATTTCTCCCTACTTGTCGAAGAAGCTTGAGGAAGAAGCTGTCTCCATTCTGGAGCTTTCACCAGCTGAAGGTGTCGCGAACTTGGGTGCGAATGCGCTTGTAGATTTCACTAACAACTTGTTTCGGCGAAGCGAGAATGGTGAAATCCAACAACGCATGATGACTTTGGAAATGCTAGTGTCGAATTTACTAGCGTTTGAATCGACTGATCCCCGAGATACAATTTATGCTGTCTTATCGCTCGCCAAAGATACACATCGTTTCGGACCTGAGATGCACGTGAGAGACTTGGATCCAAGGCTCTTACCAGATTACAAAAACAAATGCTTACTAGATGTCTACACGGACTTCATCGCTTATTGCATCGAAAAATCATCGTCGCTGGACATTCTTCTCAGGCATTGGGCACCAGATGGAAAGAGGGAGAAGAAGAAAAGATATTTTACTCCCGAGAACAAAACGGAGGAGGAAGAAGAAGACCTCCCAACATGGATACCGCTTATTCATAAATCATCCTATGGTACACCATCGCGCCGGCCTGGTGGAAGAAGAAATGGAGACAGTTTTGTCGGCACTGCTTTTCGTTCTAGTCAAAAGAATTACAATGCAGCTTGCGATCTCAAACCATGGATAAAGTTTGGAGAATTGACAGAAGAGGCGAGCAGAAAGAAGAAGTACAACGGCCGCCTCGCCGTGAAAGGCATTCGGATAGGAAATATTGCAAAGTTAGCACCACGGGCACCGCAGGGCATGATATTCCCTGATACATTCGAAATGGCAAAATTTGATCGCGACTGGTGGGATGACAACAAAGAATGGGCTCCTGGGATGGCGCGTGTACCGGAAGGCTTCTGGAGAACGATCGTAGCCGATCGCTCATCGTCAAGTGGCGGGAATACGGAAAGCTGGTACCCAAGGGCTTGTTATGAGTCTTTGAAGAACCTCTACCCGGATGGCTCACTTAGACCCGATATTGTTTTGGGTCTGCGAAAGGCGCCAAAATTCGTCAAGGTCTTTCTGAGTCGTGTTAAGGATGTCATGTGGGATCGACGATTTGCGCTTATAAGTCTTCATGGGAAAGAAACATATGCTTTGTTGCCAGCGGACACCAAGAAAAGAGACATCATATGTGTTTTATTTGGAAGTTCTGTACCAGTTGTGATGAGACCGCATGACGACTACTGGGAAATGGTTGGCGAATGTTTTTGTTATGGCCAGATGGAAGGAGAAGCAGTTTCGGGGAAGGAGTGGGTACACCCTTACGAGGATGCTGAATGCTTTGAGATTCGGTAACACTTTGGGTATTCGAGGTCCTCTTTTTTCGTTTATTTGGAGTTGGGCTCGAGGGCATTTTCGAGGCGAAGTAGGGAGCCATTTCTTGAAGTTTGGTCATCACCTGCTACAACTGTCACGGTCAACAGCTATGAATCACGATGAAAAATTTCTCCATGTGGCTCCAATAGAAATGATACCATTGTAAATGACGGCCACGTCCCACTTGTCTGTAGCGAGTCTCTGCTGAACAAACAAAAGCGATACGCCTATGCTGTCCCGTAGCTGTAAGAGAGTAATTGCCGCGCTGAGAAATGCTGCCCAGGCAAGTAGGCACCGTATCATGTCATGCATAGGCTGAGCCTCTATGCTGAGGATACGGGGTTTGATGGCCACGGGGGCCAATTTTCCCGATAGCCGAATTTCCAATGAATGTCAGCAGCTAATTCGATGATCCTAGTCTGATCCTAAAGGAGCACGATTATCAGCTGGATATATGCGTGGAGGCGGAGCCTCCGTGCTGTAGTAAAACCAATCGAATCATCTCCTACCATTCCGATTGAGGCGCCTCCCTGAAGTGTTACCACACCATGCACATCCCTTGTGTCAGGTCTAATGTCCTCACCGAAATCCCCATTCTCCTCAACTGGCTTTTCCGAAAAGCCTCAGCTATACAGACCTCGGGCATCAGGACATACATGAAAATTCATATAATAGTATACAGTCCATTGTGCTAAACTCCATATACAGTTCTGAGCAGTTCATCGGTCTACTTTGATCATCAATAATTCTTCTGAATTAATTGCCACAATTGTTCGTTTTTACAATGTCCCGTTCCGCAAATCGCAACTCTCCAATCCGAAAGATAAGCTCTAAGAGTAAATTAAAACCAATACTACAAGAACGACGTTCTCACGCTTTCAATTCTCGTCTGAGACTAGCAACCACACAACGAGATGTTTTCGATTGGTTTGATGAATCCCCATATAATGGAGGGGAGGTCTACTCACCACAATGGCAGTGCCGGTTGACAAAATGGTAAGTTTTCTATACATGTGTAGATATAGCTTCCTCAATTACTAACGGAACTGCAGGGGCGAAGAGTTCGATAACGACCTCTCATCTCTACATAACCAAGTCGCTCGTTGCGAGCAAGAACCAGAAAAACTGAAAATTGGTCTCTTCTTCCAGACCCACTCCATAGCAGCTTTCAGTCTGTGGCATCTATTACAAGCATGCTACGAACTAGACAAGCTCATATGTGGAACATCAGCACCGGTATCTGAATGGCAAGATCTTCGGCCTTTCGAATATCTCAAATCCAAAGACATTATGTCAACATGGCGAAGGAATTTGCGAGCATTTTCTTCCCAGGTCCAACAGAGTAACGTGGGCAATAACAACTTCGAGAAAGAAGCTGTTACAAACCGTTTACATTACTTGGTGCAAGGTGTCCAGGCCCTCGAGGAAGCTCGCGCTATGGCTGGAAAGGTATTTGAGATGCGGAAAGACAACATGCGGTGTTCGTACTGGATGCTGGATCATATACAGGAGGCTGTGGATAAAAGGTGTCGTGCGATTGAGAGTATTTCAGACTCTAACATACGTTGAGATCCATACTCTCTCTGCCAGACAGTGCTTTTCGGGATCACCAAAGGACGTTTTCGGTTCATTTTGTAGTTATAAAGTAGTTCAGTGTGTTACTCAATTGTTCGAAACATATATATGGGAAAATAAAAGGGCGCAACGGCAGGAATGGACGGTTGGGGGTATACCTTTTTAGGAGTTTGGAGAAAGGAAATGCCCCTGTCGGTCATTGAATACTACTTTATATCTGTATCACACTTTGGTATACTGCCTTGCAGTAGACGAAACAATGGTACTGAAATTCGCGAATCTATCGAACTCAGATACAATCAGGATAGAAACATGACAACATGCTATCTTTGTGTCCTCGATGGCTGAAAACTCTCAATCCGTTCCTCTGCGTTGATCTATGTGGCCCGTATATTTCGTAGAGCGAGGTATGGTAATGATGCCACTCACTTTCCCCTACTTGAAGAAGTGATGTAGTATGAAGGGGCTCAAGAGATACACCAAGTCAAGAATCCGAGATTATTCGCGACAGTTAGACCACCAAACCACTTAGGACGACAAGATCGGGAGGAAAATTGACGGAATATAAGATTGTACTGAGGGCAGAAGTGATCCATCCTTCGAATACAACGACCGAGAGGAATGTATTACAATTAAGTATCCGAGATAGAATACCCATCTTCCGGGATACATAAACGTAACAATACGTCTCCGTTTTATTCATGAACCACAGACGTATCCCATTCACAAATGGTACCAGAAATGATACAGTGATCAACGAAAATCGCAAGTATGAAACATAGCGAGAAGACCTCACTTAACGTTCGGCAACTGGAATTCTATTTGTTTCTAGAGCCCGTCTCTGGAAGTATTCTATTCTATTTAAGGGTTTGCTAGAATTTTTCTATTCTAGAGGTATATATTCTATAGAATATATAGAATTTCTATATAGAAATTATTATATAATATGAAAAATGTATCCTATGTCTAGTAGGCTAACAAGAAGATCCTTTTTAGTTATAACAGCGGCTTTATGTAGAGATAGTAGTAAGAAATTAACTAGGAATATAAATAGTATATAGGTATCCTAGGTGGAATAGAATGGGATAATTCTATGGAAAATAGTTCTAAGTGCCGAACGTTGCCCACTTCGCTAAGACAAGAAAGATCATATTACTCTCAGATCAGGAAGAAAGCAACAGGTAAATCCCGTTGAGGCGCCAGTCATGATACCAAAACATTATATAACCACCTAAAAATGTCCTCAGGATGAGAAAACCACAGTACTAGCATTGAGAAGATCATGTCCACTAACATCTCATTCCACTTCCATCTACTATAATCAAATCGAAAGAACTGAAATCCAATATACCAATAGAGAATAGAATCCAGTCCATGTAACATACCATAAAAATCCATGATCACACCCACAGACTCACAAATCAATATCCTACACTTTCAAAAACAATTTCCTTCAATACGGTATGAATGAACAACCCCGCCAAACTCCCACTTCAAAAACCACCTACTTCCCATCGAACATAAGCATGACTTTCACAATGAGATATCCCAAGAACCAGCTCATCTAAAGTAACGAAACTCAGCTCCATCATCACGAGCAATTACAATAACAATGCCCACCTCACGTAAGAAACCACAGCAACCAGTCATCCAAGAAATCACCCCACAGCAAACACACCACACATCAAACACCGACCTTCAAATCCCTCAAACAATACTTATTACGAAACCACAGCCGAGGCTCCCTCCCATGGTCCCTCTAGGCACCCAAGTACCGCAGGCTGACTAAGTAAGTACCGTAAGAAGAGGGAGGCTGTGAGAACACGCCCCAGACATAATTTGACAAAAATAGGAAGTACCTAGGCAGATACTCTACACATGCTACTTCCCAACTTCCCTACAGCCATGATTATATAGCCTCACTCGTCCTCTCATCGTATTTCGTCTTTCGGGCGCGCGTGAGCAGACCAGACCAGACCAGACCGCCATCGTCAGCTTGACTACCTGACATTTTTCGTGAAGACTCAAGGCTTGCACGAGGTCTACTCAGCCCATTCCAATGCAGACTGACTATCCGAGCTGAAAGTGGGAGGGGGAAATGATAAGAAACGTTACGGAGGGCTAGGCTAGGTAGGTGGAGTAAGAATAATGGAAATGGGAAGAGGCCGCAGTGTTAGTAGGGAATGGTTTATGAAGTTTCTTGACATGAAGAGAGAACACGGGTTCAGAACCGAATTGCATGGTAAACTCGTAACGATCCAATTTCGAACGATGTACAGCCACTGAACGGATTGTCAAGCTCGCACTCGCGAGTCGCGACTAAATTGCCACCTTACGCAGCGCCTCCTCAGGACCGAAAAATTGCCAAAGAGGGAAATAATTGACGAAAACCAAATATATCAGGGAGACCACATGCAAAATTATTTAATCAGAGAAAAGGAGTTCATCAGGAGTGATGTTTACTTTATGAAATGTCGTGATATCGAAGTAAACTATAAGGGCATCAAATCATACAGCAGGAGCAGTATTCTTCCCCAAAGTACCCTTCTCAATCGCCACATCCATAATTCGAGGCCCGCTGACTATCGACGTCGTGCAAATAATGATTTGTTTCCGTGCTATGATCAGTTAGTAAAAATTCAGGTGGATGTAGACCCAACATACCCTCTTCCTTCTTCGCAATAAATCTCAGGGCAGCGATCTCGGTGAATGTGATGCCACCTAGGAAAACTACAAACACAGTCTTCTTTTCCCCACTACCAGTGAGCAAAGCTCTCGCTTTGACGGCCTTATCTTCACCCTTCTGCACTTCGTCAAATGTTTGTCCTCGAACATGCTTGATAACTTCCTCGAATCCACGCCACCCCTGTGATGCACCACCAGTTCCAGCAGCACCACTATTCGCACCACCCCCCCGTGTGATTGAGGTCAAGTATTGTTTTTGTAGAATACATTGCACTAGACGTATTGATAACGGCGCGTATCCACTGTATACATAAGCAATATCGTTTGGGTCTTGCTCATTAACCTCATCTACAATGAGACGAAGTGCTTTACGTAAATAGGTGTAGTTTGTTTTTGTGGCAGTAGTTGCAACCGTTGAAGAGATTGGAATCATGGTAGCCATGGGAGATGTTCGTGATAGAAGGAGTTGCAGCTTCTCAAGTGCATCAAGAGTGAGGATATGCTGGTAGCCATAGGCTTGCAAAATATTCCTCTTGAATGTCGCAAGTTCCCTAGGTTTGATGCCCCCTGAAATACACGACTCCAGACACAAGACTCTCAAAACTTCAGTGAGTGGTGCTTCTCGAGCAATCAGCTCTTCAATAGGGTCGTGTTGTGATGCTGGATCGGCTCCTGCTGCTAGATTCTGTTGGATTTCAAGCAGGCTAGTGAATTGATCAGTGCGTGTATGCTTCATGATTTCTTCGGCCAATCCAGTATGAACCTTCAAGCTTTTTTGCTCGGCTTGGTAACTTGGGTAATTGTCCACAAAACCTCTCATTTCGGCCACGGTTTGATTAGTCTGTCGATTTGAAAATTGATCATAATTATCTTTCAGTCGCCTAGCGACTTTGTTCAGTAGAGGTCCAACAATGGCAAAGTTCGTATCTCTCAATTGGGGATAAAGCTTGTCGGATGAATCCAACTCAATTTGTCTCTTCTTTTCTTGGGTGGACGCTGAGCTTACAGATCCCCTGGATGTTCCGACCGGGGCTTGAGTTGCTGCACCAACAATAGAAGTGTCAACCATAGCTCTGTTGTTCGAAATCCCAACAACCTCATCGATCAGTCCTTCATACGTCAACTGGGTGAGGAGCGGGGTAGCGAAGTCAACTTCACGGTCGATGACAATCAGACTTTCCATATTGTTGCTTGGTGTCAGGCCCAGCTTAGTGCTTTCTGTAGAGTCCTCTCCCGCCGTCAATTCCTGTCGCATCCGCGCGAGTAGATCCGCGAGCTTCTTCCCATTATCTCCCTTTCCAGTAACCCGCGGGAAAAGACCATGCTTTTGTTGAATGAGCATCAATGCACGTGCCATTATGAATATTGGCGTGGGGTCTTTTCGAAGGTACAGATCTGCGAAAGAGTCCTCCAGTCCCAAGGACAACAAATCTTTCTCCAACGGCATAAAGTAAAGGGGAAACTCGGCAACACTGGTGTCACCCAAAACTCCCGCATCTTCAAGTATCTTTTCAGATACCAGCGTCCGCCGAGGCACCCAAAAAATGGAAAATTCATGTCCTGTTTGAGTCTCACGTTGCATACGCTTGATGTGATCTGGGGATGTCAGCATGTAATGGCAGTATCACAAGCATATGGAGTACAATGAAAGAGAGACTATTAATCCATGCCGAATCATCATCCATTTTGGGCTCAACCAAGAATACGCAGAGTGGAGGTAGTACTACTGCATCTTCTGTCTAAGAGCCCATGAAGTTGAGAAAATCGTGAATCTGTAGTGTACAGTAGATAGTATGAGAATGCCCCCGACGTACCAGCTATGGATTGAGCATGCTTTGCACACTCCCCTCGAGCAATGAAGACGACATTTTGTTGACTGACATCTGCATCGCCGTTCTCCAGAAAGAAGGTCTTGGTTACGCCATATTCCAGCAGTGTGGAGTATTTGACGAATAGCCGCAACGAATCGCCCAACTCTCTTTCAATCACCAGGATCTTCTTTCCGCGAACCTGCACATCGAGAGGTTAGCAGAGGCGCATCGACCCATCACGTACTGGGAATGGGAGTCCTTACTTACGCCCTCTAACAAGTACAAAAGATCCTTCCTCGCTTTGTCCTTAATCTGGTCGGTATCAAACCCAGTACAAGGCGCCATGACTACATGCGGCTGATCTGTGGGTGTTGAGAGTTTGCTAGGTGGAAGGGGGGGAGGCTGAGGAGGAGGCTCGAGGTTGATGGGGGATGAAGCTCTGACCGCAATGAGGAGGAAGCTCCTCCTGGTCTCAGCGGAGCCCACAAACCCAAAATCTCAGCCTTGCGACGTCCAGCAGTGACAGCATCGTACCTGCCCAATCAATGACTCAGAAGCCCTCGCCTTATTCCCCTCGCCCACATATCCCACCATAGTCCTTCGCCAAACCCACTCCACTCAATTGGAGGGGCAAGTTAATGAAGACTCTCCGCCTACAATTTTTTCGGTCGCTGAGATCACGACGGATACCACGTAATCCAGAATCATTTCGTTTGCGCGCGCCTTCGAAGGCCACTTTTTCAACTTGCGGAAGGTTATCGAGAACCGTTGCGGGGTACGTGGTGACTCAGGACGATTCAGATATGGCTCCCAAGGGCCAAAAGTTTGAGTTGAAGACTCCCAAGGGGACGAAAGATTGTATGCGGGTCATGTCTGCTCCTAGCGTCGCCTTCAAGAGCTAACCAAAACACAGGGGAGGGAAGGGACATGATCATTAGAGACAAGATTTTTTCCACTATCACCGATGTATTCAAGCGCCACGGCGCCGTCACAATTGATACGCCAGTCTTCGAATTGAAGGATATCCTATCTGGGAAATATGGCGAAGACAGCAAACTCATCTACGACCTCGCGGATCAGGGAGGAGAAATCTGCTCCTTAAGATATGATCTCACAGTCCCATTCGCAAGATGGTTGGCCATGAACCGAGACTGCCAATCAATCAAGCGATACCACATTGCAAAGGTTTACAGACGAGATCAACCTGCTATGACCAAGGGCCGTATGCGAGAGTTTTACCAATGCGATTTCGATATTGCTGGAGTCTATGACCCAATGCTTCCCGATGCCGAAATTGTCAGAATTATCACCGAAGTTTTTGAGGGCCTGGGATGGAGGGGCCGGTATACAATCAAACTTAACCACCGAAAAATCTTGGACGGAATATTCGAGGTCTGTGGTGTTCCAACAGACAAGATTAGGACTATTTCATCTGCGGTTGACAAGTTGGACAAATCTCCATGGGAGGAAGTACGTAGAGAGATGACCGAGGAAAAAGGACTTGATGGTGCTGTTGCGGATAAGATTGGAGAATATGTTATACAAAAAGGACAAAAGGATCTGCTGAGCAAATTGCGGGAAGATGCGACTTTGATGGCAAACGAATCGATGAAAGCTGGCTTGGCAGACATGGAATTGTTGTTTACATATCTTGAGGCATTCGATGCTTTGCAAAACGTCTCTTTTGACTTGAGTTTGGCCCGCGGGCTCGACTACTATACTGGAGTCATCTATGAGATTGTCACCGAAGGATCAGCTCCAGGCTCTGGACCACCGGCAACTGTTACTGCACCTGCATCGAAGTCCAAATCCTCAAAGAAACCTGGTGGAAAAGGCGTGGTGGATTTCGATGAGGATCGCTCATCGGATCCAAGCGTTGGTGTAGGAAGTGTCGCAGCAGGTGGACGATACGACGAGCTCGTTGGAATGTTTTCTGGCAAGACCAAAATTCCTTGCGTTGGTATTTCATTCGGTGTCGACAGAATCTTCTCGGTTACGAAAGCCAGAATGGAGGCAGATAAGAATGCTGAAGCAGTTCGAAATAACGAGACGGAAGTGTACGTGATGGCATTCGGAGGTAAAGGATTCACTGGTCTCCTGAAAGAGCGTCTCTCCATTTGCAGCAAATTATGGGACGCAGGAATCAAGGTAAGACCCCAAATATTTCGAGGTATTTACACAAACTGACTTGTTTTCAGACGGAATTTCTGTACAAAGTCAAACCCAAGCTCCCTAATCAATTCGCTGCTGCAGATAAGAACGGAACTCCTCTGGCCATTGTCATTGGTGAAGACGAGATGAAAGCTGGCAAAGTTAAGATCAAGGAGATGGGACTTCGGGATGGCCACCCCGAAAAGGATGGTGTGCTTGTCAGTATCGAAGACCTTGTACCAGAAGTACGAAAAAGAATTTTAAGGAAGTCAAATCTGGAGGAACTCGTCAAGGAGGCAGCAGGATTGAAGGTCGTCGGTGGCATTAGAGGCGAGAAAGAGATTGTGAATACAGTCGAAGCAAGCAACTCGGAAGCCGAAAAGAAGGATGGGGAAGTAAAGACCTCGCTAGAAGCAGAAAAGAAAGTAGAAGAGAAGAAGCCAGAAGAAAAGGCATTGTCGGAAACGGAAAAGCCAGCTGAAGTTGTTGGGGGCAAGTCACAGGAAGCTATTGGAGCGGTACCAGCATCATAGCGGAGAATATGCATGAATTGTAGCCAATGTTTGGTATCGTGAATAGACTCCATTGCGATGGTCTACAGTAATAGTAGATATTGGGTTTGCCAGAAATGCGACTTTATATGCTATGCCGATGAATCCCTTTCGTGCAGGGCAGGAGGCTTAAAGCTTAACTGTTTAAGCATTTGAGGCAGGTGGATCAAATGTTCTCATTAACTCCACTCACATCCTCTACCATAGATGACATAACATTCAAAGCCCGGTGGTGCGGTTTGGTGTGCAGAGTGGCGTGTCGGTTGATGGCTAAAAGGAAAATGCGACCCTGCAGAGCAGTTAGTACCTTGGTACCGTAGCTTCCCTGCATGTTATTATTACAAATTATCGCATTTTGATACACAATTTTCCTCACGTCGCCGTCTTCGCTTTTCCTCGAGGTCGCCGTTTTTCCCAGCCATACCAGGCGTGAATGGTTTTCCAATCATCGGCGCTATCCAATCGCCGTGGGACGGAAGCGGAAAGCTACTAAGCCGAAGATGGCTAGCTGACGGTGACGTGATCGCTCGGGAGGTCCAGATAGGAGCGGAGACCGCAGGGCGGGAGGGCCAAGCTGAGCACATCATCGACTGGATTTATTGAAAAGGACCTTTTGCTTCCGACTTTCTTCTGAAATTGTCCATCCAACTTTGTACAACTTCTACTTCTTTTGATACCCGTCTCCAGTACCTGAAACACTTTTCTACATCTAAAACTCCATCACCATGTCTGCCACCGAAGAAAGACCAACTCCGTAAGTCCCGTCCTTGAACTTCTTATCGGAATACATCACCTGAAATTTACCCCTCCATGACCCCGCCATTACGCAATTCCAGCAAGTGAAAATATTTTTTGGGGGTTATGAACTGCCATCAGATTTTGCAATATGATGGAAGAGTACAGCTTCAATATGAAGCTATTTCAAGTGTTCATTGCAATCCAAATCGGAGCATGAGCATTCATCAACCCACCTTTATTTACTTACTACGAGTACACTACAACACCATGCTAAGATCAACCAATTTAGTCTCCGTCTCGGATCTGTAGCCCCAAACTTCAAGGCAGAGACTACCACCGGCCCAATCGACTTCCATGAATTTATTGGCGACAAATGGGTGGTTCTCTTCTCCCACCCTGAAGATTACACTCCAGTCTGCACTACTGAGCTCGGCGCTTTTGCCAGACTCGAGCCAGAGTTCACCAAGCGTGGAGTCAAGCTGATCGGTCTCTCTGCCAACACCGTTGAGTCTCACGGAGGATGGATCAAGGACATTGATGAGATTTCCGGCAGCAAGCTCTCCTTCCCGATTATCGGAGACAAGGACCGAAAGATCGCATACGCATATGACATGTGCGTACCAATTTTCCTGCCTATCCTATTCAAACCCCGAAGAAAATGTAACTAACAAGGAGAAAAAAGGCTTGACCACCAAGATACCACAAATGTCGATGCCAAGGGAATTGCTTTCACCATCCGCTCCGTCTTTATCATCGACCCAAAGAAGACCATCCGACTCATTCTCTCCTACCCAGCCTCCACTGGCCGTAACACCGCCGAGGTCCTCCGGGTAGTCGACTCCCTCCAAACCGGTGACAAGCACAAGATCACCACTCCCATTAACTGGATCCCAGGAGAGGACGTTATCGTCCACCCTGCTGTCAAGAACGAGGAGGCCAAGACTTTGTTCCCTGAGTTCCGTATTGTTAAGCCATATCTTCGATTTACTCCTTTGCCTAAGGAGAAGACTTCTGCTGCTGTTTAAGGAGTCTATTCCTGGGGTGTTTGTGGGTATTTTGAGAAGTTAAATTGGTACATCGGAGGGTTGACTCCCTTTTTGGGTCTTTTTCATTGCGAATAAGCGGCATGAAATATGGGGCTTGGTGCGGGACATGTCTTTCATTGGGTAGGGATTTTGATGGGTTGAGAATTTGCCCTTCGCAATGTAAAAAATAAAAAAAGACTTTATGAACAATAATACCCTCCGTGCCCCTTTCTGATTGTGATGTCTGATGCCTTTCTTTTCTTGTCTTCCAAATGAGTTTACGTTACCCCAAAGAGCTCGAATTCATTATAAAGTGTTGAACAGGAATGGTGAATGGTAGAATGTCAGGGAATCTAGAATAACAGAATCAGAATTGTATCAAACAAACCAAGGAGTAAATAACTAAGAGAGCGAACAAGAACTATATATATCATAGTATCTCCTAAAACCTAACTAAGACCTGTTCTACCTACCTTGGTATATAGAGTAGAAAAACCTGTTAGTATAAACCTGACAACATAAAGCCATGAGGGGTATACTTGGTACCCCATAAACTTCTCCTCTTTCTGGTACTGTATCTAACACACTCAATTCTGAATCAAACTACCACCACATCAAGAGATATCAGAGAGTTGGTCGCCCCAATAATTGCTCCTGTGAGAGCGAGATCTGTGGTGTTCTTTTTTCGTATACGGTGGTAGGTACTCCCACGAGATGTGGAGGTCTTTCTTTGATTTTATTAGTGTGGTGTATGAGCCTTTTTTAAAAAAAGAAATTCTGGGATTGAGAGGGAAGAGAGGGGGTGTTGTTGTCGATTTTGGGGTTGTTGTCGAATTTTTTGGGTTCGTTCGTTCGTTCGTTTGGATGTGGTAAGTTGAGGTGGCGGGGATGGGGGATGGGGATAGGGGGAAGTAGGTAGGTATATTAAGTATGACGCATTTGGGTACTGGACAGGAAGGAAGGGAGGGTGAGAGAGGGGGATGGGAGAGGGGTTTGTGTTGATAGGAGGGGGTGTGGATGGTGATGGTGATGGAGGTGAAGGTAATTATTTCGACATTTCCATCTATAAGTTTCATTCACATAAGGGTGGTTCCACACAGTATCGAAACCTACAACCCCAATTTCCAAAAAAAAAACGACAAAAATATCATAACGCCTCTTTTAAGGCATCACCAGGGAGCGTAAACCAGACAGACGAACTACGTTTTTCTATTGGGCTATAGCTATATATCATTCCTGCGCTCTTCTGCTTTTAGCTAATAGGCAGTGTGTTTCTGTGTGTAAGATTACGGCGGTTGGCTTGGGGGGGGTATGTAGAGATGTAGATTTGTTATTGCTAAGGAAGATAGAGGATTTTCTGAGAAGCGTGAATGATTGGAGTGGTTGGGAGTTTGGGGTTTGAGGGGTGGAACTTGGTGGGTTTGGGATGGTCGCGGGGATAGGGGCTGAGGGAACGCATATAACTTCTATATATTATATAGTGAATATAAATAAAGTCCCCCCTTTACTCCAAATCACGATCCTATGAGGAATGTTAAGGAAAATGTCACGGAAAATTGCTCGGTATGGCGACTTCTCTTCCCTTCCCTTTCGTGAAACAATTTGAAGAATTCACTCTGCCGAAGAGTCAAAGCCATGAGTTAATCGTTTGTATTGCCTGGTTTGTTTTCACTCTCTATACCCTTCCCTTGGTTTGAGGGGAAGTTGTTGTTCTTGTTATCGAAAGGGGTGTGCTGTCGATTTTGTTGATTTTTTTGTTTGTAATTTTGGGGATGATTACAGGTTAGAATAGGTACTGAAGAAGATAAGGTGGTTTTGGTGGATTTGGATACTGGGTATGGTTTAGAATTGTATGCTCGATCATTACGCACGGTGGGCGTGGTAGTGACTGGTAGTTTATCTTTTGCCTTACATCGTAAATCTTTCTTCTATTTATCCTCAGATTCCTTCCATTCAGACTCGCTAACGAAAAGCTACAGTCTTCTTATTTATCTTTTGGATTTTTGAAAGGATACTATAGTCATCCTTGGGGCTTGGATGATATCGTGCTCTTCCTATTCTATCTTAGGGATTTGGTTCTTCGCTACCTTTAAATTTGGGTCCATGGGTTCTTTTGTATTGTTTTGAGATGATATGTTTGAGGGTGATTCATGTCATATGTTGTAGTTTAAAATAACTCGTGGGTGTTCAGATACGTATATTTCCAAGGATTGGGCTGTTTAAAACTAGGTTAGAGTTCGAGCCCTACTACTGTAAGTATATAACTTTTTCTAGTACCAATAGAGGCTCGAAAAAATCCGAAGGCGACCAATATAGTTGGCCTATCATGGTAACTTTAGTATTTTGGCTTCGACTGTATACTATTCCAAGCATCATCTGGACTGCAAAGTAGACCGAAGTTCAATGTAAGATATTTTCCCTCTAGAAATCAAGAAGAGTTGAACAAAAGTTCTGCTACTCTATGTTTTTGAAAGGATTTGGGAAAGTACCGTGACTTTATTACTTTTCTTCTATCGATTCCTGGCTTGTTGTAGATTCTTTCACGCTCATTTCCTTTTCTCCGTTGGACTTGGATTGGGCCATGACAATTGAAAAGTTATGGGTTGAAATTGTAGGGTGGTCTTATAAGATGGAGGTTAACCTGAATTCTTGATTCTGTTGGTCACATGAAGACCAGGATCGCCTCTCAAAAGCACATCTCTAATTGATTTGGATCATCTCTTCCTTAATGTTCGCGTCGCTTTTGTATATTGTTTGGTGAGATTTTGGGATTAATGTTAAAGTGACCGTTTCTGGAGGACTGGGTTACTTGAAGAGCTGTTCAATGAAATAAAACTTCTTGGAGTGTAGTTATTGAAATTTTATGTTTTCAGCACCGTATCTTACCAAGAAGGCAGATTGCTAATTATACTATGTGGCTTGACTAATGATTGTAGTTATTCTTGGTAGTGTAGTGTAACAAAACATGATGCTGTCGTATCTGAGCCGAAGTTCGAAAAGATTTGAATGGTGGGCAATATTATATTACAGCGGAAGGATATACTACTTATCAAACCTTTTAAAAAAAATCTTTTCCGAGTAATATGTCAGGCTATCAGAGTCACAGCTCACTGTTGGTATCGGAAACTATAGTCAAGATTTGCCATTTCATATTCAAAGACTGATAAATAACAAGCTGAATCTTTTCTAAACTGATGGTACATGAAGAGGAGAAATGGAGAATTCGACTGCTTTAATGAGCGTGGCGAGTAAAGAACTAGGTCCTGTGAGATCTTACTCTCTGGTAGGTCGATTCTCTACGCGTGAAAGCGCTTCCTAGATAACGACAGGTCGAGGTCCTGTGCCTCATCGCCACCGAATTGTTTGCAGTAAGCCAAAAACTACCGAGGCGTGGGAGTTAGCTTTTGTATGTACAAGAAATCAATACAGATACTTACCTCATTTCCACCTAGATGCCAATTCTTGCTCTCGCAGTAGGGAATTTTGTCCTCAGATGGGGCTGGCACGAAAGTGAAATCTGGGCATGAGTCATGTTTTTCAGAACCCGTTTTTCGCTTAAGGTATTCCTCGCACGCGCTCTGAGTCGAGTCTGCATCGAACATTCCCTGTGACCAGGTGTGAGTAGTTGTGTTGGAGACGGTTGTTTCATGGACAATGGAGAGATGACAGGTTGGGTTGGAGAGGCTTACGTCTTTCTTGCAGACCATTCTGAAATGCTCATTCGCGACGACACTAGTGAAGATGTTAATTTGACTTTCTCCCAGGCATCTTTTGGGAAGATTACTTGCCCTGTTGCCAGGACGGCGACGGCGAAGAGAGTTGGGAACTTCATCTTGTCGAATGAAATACAGAAGATTTGATATTTGAAGAGTTTTTCTTGTGGAGAGTGATGTAATTGAGATGAATGGTATCAGTGATGTACTTGTGAAAAATTCAAGAAGTGAGAAAACGGACAGTTATATACTCCATTCAACCTCTACAAACATGCCTTCATAACGTGACCCCAACGTCCGACATTCCAATATGACTTCCATCAATCTTGTACATGACCGAAGACAACATCCCCGAATACTGTGTTTCTCTGCTGAAAATTCGCTCCCTCACAAGATTCCGTATTTTTCTTTCCAAAATGCCGTGATTTGGCGGTCCGAGGGGAGGCCATTATTCGTATTCAGCCATCCGAAAATAAAAGGCATGTACACCGATAGTAAGGCGCACTGTAGGATTACGTCTCAAAACATCTCATGACTACCAACGACGCAAGTATGCGGATACGCGTACGTCATTTAAATTGATGTCGACTACGAGGTGTTTGTGGCTGGGTTCGTCCGACTCAACGGCGAAGTCTTTAGCAGTTTAAAGATGCTTGGATAAAGCTTACCTTTTCACAGAGGTTCAGGGACTTCAAAGGGGCTCGAGAGGGGACCCTTGTACCGAGTTTTGGCAAAGAGATGGGATGAAAGTAGAACCTTGATGCTTATGGCAGTAACCCAGTATCTAATTGTTATCAATAATGAACCACGTGGCGTTTAAGCGAGAGCGAGAACAAAACGTCCAGTATTCGATGTTTCGTACTATTTCCGACCTCGTATTTTACTCGCACTGAATCGGGCACTCGTACTCGTGATCAAGCGAGTGATATTTCGTCCATAAAACTACTGGCATCAGTCGTGAAAACATAACAAAAGAGCTGCGAACGAGCCGCGAAGAAATAAAGGCCCTTTTAGGTCGGAACGCGCACTCGGAATGGGGCATATAAATTAAACATTTATACTCCTTCCGAAAGCCAATTCCTCGTCACGAGTATTAGAAACGTCTAGCTCGTACATTGAATGTAAAATGACTACTATTCCGAATATAGTAACCTGGTTGTATTTGGAATGTACTATGGAAATATAGTAAAAATACGTTCTCACGAGTATACGTTCCCAACTCGCTCATACTTTGATATATATACACTTCTTCTTTATATAAAAAGTATGAATCTCTACTTCAGAAACGTCGTACGCGTGATAGCAGAGGCAAAGCTTAGCGCATATCCTTTGTCTTTACGCTATAGAAATAATATCTTCGAAACAATACAACACAAATTAAGTTTGCTTAATCCAACGGTGTTCGATCCGAATATATTATTGAGTGGCCACTCGATGAGACTCGATAGAACACCCTGGTTTTATGTATTTCGGGGTACGCTACTGAATGGCGATGATTGCTCGAACGAATCTTATCCTCTCCCAATTTAAGAATGATCGAAAGAACGTGCGTGATATACTAGATACTATGGTAGAAACCCAGAAATCCGGTTTTGAGATTTACCTTCCTCTGACAAACAAAGAAAACGCATCTTTCATTAAGTTTAGCAATTATTTATAGCTTCACGTGTCCGGGGGATACTTTTGACTGTTAAGCGAACTTAAGTCAAGGTGCTATTCTCTCTTCCAACAGTTGCTTTGACCTTTTGATGAGGTCTGGAAGGCATTTGATTCCGCCTCCACCATTCTCCGCTTTTCCTGTAGATTCCCCGACTCTGATGCGGGAAAAGAATTAGCCAAAGTGATTCGTTCTAAGCTAAGCTTGTTTTGAGGTCAACCAGAGGGAAAACTTAACTCACCTAATGGCAATCGATTGAGGGTCATATGAGGAATAGGGCAGATAAATGGGTCATCTCTCAAAGCAACCTCGGCTAGAAAGATTTCTATGTGGCTGAAGAGAAACACATAAAGTCGCACCAAATGGATGTAGCAGATCATAGACTGAAGAACTACGGTTGCATTGATATTCCCCCTTTCCAAGCAAGACTGTTCCACGTTTGTTAGTAAGATTGAGGGTGGCCTGTTGGCCATTGGCGAATGTGCCCGGTTGTTACCTGCGTAAGAACCGCCGTTTTCATTTGCCCCATCCATTGGCGCAGTTCCTTTAGATCTCATGAACCCATAAACTGATGAACCTGACGAAGACTTATTATTGGCATTTGATGGCTTCAAGCCAGCTAGGATTTTCACGAACTCTCGTGTCCCCCCTAATATCTCATCAATTGGCGTAGACGTGGACGGGGAACTAGTCGCATCCAATGTCGGGAAATGTAGAGTATCGAGAGTCGTAGAAGGGCGTCCTCCGTTGATCTTTCCGAGGGTTTCGGCAAGCCTGAGACTTAGACCTGTAAGATGATTGATATGGCTGTCTCCAGTTTTCGCCACTTCTTGTCCACTCTGAAATTCGAATCGTGCATCAGCACTTGAAGATGTCCCGAAATCAAGGTCTTTCTCGGGTTGCAGAGAAGAATTCAGACTTACATTGAAGGCCTCGGGCTCATAGTAGCAAGCCGTAATGATGTCAGGCCCACTGTTGCTATGAAACTCTTCGCCAGAACACTGGTCATCCATGCCAAGTGAAAAGACCCCCGGGTTCTCAAAGCAAGTGAGTTCATCCATAATTAAATCTGTAGCAAAATCCAAATTTCTTGGTTCGACCCCGGAATAGCCTTTGGGACTCTTCTAAATGGCATAGCTTCAGCGGGTGTTGTGTCAATCTGAGGTTCCCATTCCTGAACGGAGATTTGTGGTGTTGCTTTGTCAAGAATATTCTCTGGGAAGTCGTAAATATGAGCCGCCTCAATTGGTTCCAGAATTGTGGTAGCTGATTCTAGTTGTCTCAAAAATCCTGCTTCAGCAGCTCCTCTGCGCTGGAACCGATTCTGGTGCCTGTTTTCTTTGCTTAGGGCACAAGTCGTGCCAGTTGGACCACACCTGGGAGGGGTAAAGGTTCTCTGACCCCGAGGTCGACCCATACGAAATGGGGGACTTGTTAAACAGTCGACATCGGCACGAACACATCGATCACAGTGTTGGTTTTGTCCGTCTCGTAAGCATCGTAACTTCTGTCTTTTACATCGGTCGCAGGCGAAACGTCTTACCGAAGCTGAAGAGATTGTAGTTAAATCGCTTGACATTGTTACTGCTTTGTCAAAATAAAGAAGATGAACGTCCTCAAGTGTTCGACGGTAGTTTTGCTAGGTCATGATGACGCAGTCCGTGATAGGCAGGAAACCCTGTAGCCAACATCTGGGCTTGCCCCCTCCCATTGTTGGTTGTGTCATCACAGTGGAAGTAAACAATATTCATTTAAAGATAAAACACGAAGCAACAGATTTGCTTTGGACGGAAATGGTTCGAAGGCCATAGATTGAGGTAGTTCACAAACAAACAAACAATCAACTTCTTCTGAAAATTATTCACCCATAATTGCTTGTACTGTATCGATCAAGAATTATATGAATTGTTGGTACTCTCGCTTACCAGCCACTCGGAGTAGCATACGAACGCAACTCACCGAAAGTCGCCGATAACCAACATCATGTCCCGGGCCATTTTTCTCCATTTTCTGTTTTCGTTATGACACTTACTTACTTCACCATACACAAATATACCTGAACAAGATACTAAAACTTTCAATAACGATGGGCGGTAGAATATTCGACGACATACGCTCTGTTCTCTTACAATTTCTCGAAACCTGGAGAGATGCCACCAGCATGCAAGTGATTCTCGCTTTCGTAAGTGTGGTAAGGAAGAGCTCTCCCAAAATATTGTTTCTGCTTGTTTAAGTTTGACAAACGCTGTTCAAGGTTCTCACATACGCTATTACTCGAATTACATATCTTCTCTATCTCCACCCGCTTTCAAAATACCCGGGTCCTAAGCTTGCTGCAATTTCCAATATATGGTATGCCAAAGCATGGTAAGTGGGTCTCTAAAACAAAATGGGATCATTATATAACTTTTGAGGTATGCGGGAAAATATCCATGGGCAGTGGAAGAAGCAGTGCGGCAATATGGTAAGTTCGACTCTCAACATTGGCGGCTTTATGACCTGCTCAGAAATTTGGGCCTTTACTTGCAACTGCTTTCCCTCCGCTTGCTAAAGTTCAGATATTGGTTATCTTAGGCGATGTCGTCCGCATTGCACCCAACGAACTCGTATTTGCAAAACCAAAAGCAATATCAGGTAACTCTAGATATACTTGCATCTCATCACGAGTCGAATCTCTATCTGACCCGTCTTCTAGATCTTCATACATCTCATGTCAAAATCCGAGAGACATTCACAAAGATAAACTTCCAGAGCTTTGATGAAAAAGAGCCGGGAATTACATGGGAGACGGACCCTAATACGTATAGGGGAAAAGCCAAACAGCTCCACCCGGCATTCTCCCCAAATTCTTTACGGTCTATGGTACCAGCATTGCAGATGTATTTGGATCGATTCATAGACAAGCTCAAAATTCACGGAATGGCAGAAAATGGGATTGAAATGAAGTCGGTTTGTGTCACTAAAGACTGCATGCGGATACCTAGGGATTCTGACGAGTACATCACGCAGATGTTTGACTGGCTTGCGATGGATATCGCTGCTGATATGGCATACGGCAGGGAACTAGATCAAGTCAAAAATAGTGGGTGCACATGCTTCAAACCAAAATCGCTGGATCGCTGACAAACTGCCACTAGTGAGGCCGGCACCGTTTCTCACTCTATGTTACCGACTGAAATTCTTCTTGACAGTATTACGAGTATTGAAGAGATTCCCACTGCTTAAGCTTTTTGTGGTCTTCCATTTCCCACCTTCCGTATTTCTACTGTTGCCAACCGCACTAAGAAAATCAGCAGAACGTTCGGTCGAGAATTGAGAGGCGTGGGAATACCAAGCATCTTGATTACTTTGAGCAATTATGTCCAACGGCAGGACAGATACCACGACAAGGCTTTCTCGAACAGGTTGCGGGACAACTTTTGTTAGCTGGATTTGATCCACTCATGAACCTTTTCTATGCATCTATATTCTTCCTGCTTTCACAGCCAGATGCTCTCAAATCTCTTACCGATGCAGTGTGAGAGGCATTTTCAAGCTACGATGAAATTACTCCAGACTCATTAGCTTCTCTCAAATACATGCAGGCAGTTATACAGGAATCATTGCGTCTTCATACCGCTGGCTCCTGGGGAATGCCCCGGAAATCTCCCGGTGCCATGATTGATGGAATGTTTATTCCGAAGAATGTAAGTTTTAGACTTCGGCGTAACAGTTTTCGAATAAGCTTTTCTAACAGTGAGATCTAGACAATGTGTCAGAGCGCAGTGTTTGCAGTGGCACACTCAGAAAAACATTTTACTAATCCAAGAGTATTTTGCCCTCAAAGATGGTTGTCTTCTGATCATCCAGCTTACGACTCTGTCTACTCCACCGACGATAATAATGCTTTCAGCCCTTTTGGCCAAGGACCTAGAAGCTGCCCTGGTAGTAGTTTTGCACACATGGAGTCCAGACTGCTTCTTGCCAAACTGGCTTGGTCATTTGATATGGAGTATGGGAAGAGGAACAACATAGTATGGGAACGTGATTTTAAGATGTTTGTGATGTGGGAGAAGCCAGATCTCTACGTCAGATTCAAGTGCCGCAAGCTTTAGCTCAATTCCAGGATGAATTCTTATTTCCTTTAAAGAATGCTGGAGATGATTTAGAAGTTAGCTTTCTGTAACGCTCAGTGAATGAGTATTTGGGAAAGTCGTTTTAGTACGGTGTACGTTGTTTTCTGAGGCAGCAGTCGACTTATTCCTTATTGTAGCTCCCCACTCGTGAGGTGAGGACCGGGTGGGCAAAATAACCTGCATGTTTGTTGTGAGTGCGTTTTGCCCGAAGTTCGTCACCTTATCATCGAAAGCATCATGAGAATAAGTAGTGTTTTCTATGAAATGTTGTACTGGTACTAACCAAAAAACTGCAGCATACTTTGCTTGAATCACGTGATTTCGGCGACTTTGACTTCGCTTAACCCAATGAAACCCCCTGAATCATTTACCGACTCCGATCAGGGGTAAGACAGAAAAAGTCTGCCGGATAAAGGCATAAGTCACCTAAGATATTGCTATACTTCGAGGTAGAATAATTCCTAGGATTCATGGTCTTGTGAAATGGGACAAGAATTCTTAGAACTCTTAACGGTGTGATTGTGGTCTAGTTGATTATTTGGGTCGTGAGCTCAAACGTGCAGGGATGTCTTCCCACATCATATGGTTAGATCACAAACCTTTCTCACACCGAAAGCCACTGATGCAGCTTTGTACAATTATTCAAAGTTCGCTTTTGAAGGGTGATCCAAAGGAGACATAGCCAGAATTAGGTCAGGGGCTAGGGGAAACCCTTCTTAGTGAGTATCTAGGGAGAAAGAATGGCTGGGACATTAATTCGTGGGTCCCAATACACTGACGCCCCGGCGTCAGTTTAGAGCTGACTAAGCGCGGGTTTTCACGCCCCCCCACCATCCACGAACACTCTACTTATAACTATAATTAATACATGCTTAACAAAATAACATATAATAAATCCTACAATATATATCGCTCCGAGTCTCGCGTATACTCCTCCTCAAGTCTAGCCCATATATCCCTACTCCTATTCTCAGTATTCCTATTCCTATTCCTAATAAACTCTGATTCAAGCATATTATACTCATCTTGCTCCTTCTTTTCCTCGTTATCTAGCCATGCTATAATCTCCTCATTTGTCCAGTCAGCTTTATTTGTAATAATAGTACCTGTAAGATCACGCCGCTCCCTAGGCATATAAAATACCTGCTCTTTTAAAATTTTCGGCCTTGGTGTTTTCCATTTTCGGGCCTTACGATATTCTGCTGGCCGTATAGTAGGATGCTGGGCTAGCCAGGCTGTTTTTTCAGCTAGGTAGGCCAGAATTAAGACTTCTGGCCGATCTGGTGAAAGCTGCTTAGGTACAGTTGGTGCTAGAGATGCTAAAGGTGCTGATGCTAGAGGTGCTGAAGGTGCTGTAGGTGATGTGGATAATGTGGGTGATGTGGGCACTGTATCTAATTCAAGGAGAATCTGGCTTTGAGCAGCAATTGATGCTTGTAGTTTCAACGGGCAGCTACGGCTACTCATTGTGTGGCCTTGCCTGTGGCATGCAGAGCATTTAGGTAATTGCTTTGCTTTTTTCTCCCCTTTTGAGAGAATGCGGCCTGTGTGAGCAACCTCTGCGTTTGCTATACGCTGTCTACCAGCCCATAGAGGGTTAAGTAGTGGCTGTATAGTGCTTTTACGGTCCCAGTACCAGTGCTCATGAAAGTCTGATGGAGTAAGCCCAGTAGTGTCCTTCTTTATCTCGCATATATGTGCACAAGGCAAGCCCATTGCCCGGGTAAAAGCACCAGTACAGGGCAGTAGTGGCCGAGAAACAGTCTCTTGATGTCGTTGTACAAGTCGTAGTGCATACCAAGTGACTACCCCAAAACAGCCTTGATATAGCTTCTTGTCTATATCAAGTGGTGCGCGGTCCTGTAACATACTTATACGAGTTGATACAGCTGTAATTTGGTTGATTACAGCTGCTTCAATAAGTAGCCATGATGAATAGAGGTCCCCCTTGGTTTTTTTGCCCCCTAGGTAGCGCTTAATATATGCATGAGCTCCTTCAGCACGGGAGGTTACTCGTATACCGAAGTGTAAGTATTGATTTGTCCAAGCCTCAACTAAACGCTCCTTTTGACCAGGTTTTAGCCACTCGTTTTGTAGGTATGCCACACACTGTTGAGTCTTAGGGTTTGAGTATTGAGTCTGAAACTCAAGCCAGCGCTTATCAAATTGCTCAATTGTCTGTGCTTGAATAACTATACGCCAGGCAGCCTCAAAAGCCTTCCAATCCTCTTCCCCGACTACATTCTTACATTTAGCAAGTACACATTGGTTTACATGCCAAATACAGAGTAGTGTAGGGGCGTGCGGAAACACCTCTTCTGACGCATTCTTTTGAGCCTGGTCACCGTCTATAACTATAGCTCCAGGGTTAATTCCAAGCTCTTGAAAACATTGGAATCCCCATATAAAGTCTTGCTGTGTTTCACCGGGAAGGAAGCAAAATCCAATTGAGAACGTTAATCCAGAGCTTGTAACACCTATGAATACTTAGTATTATAAGCGTACAAATAAGTCAAAAGCGGTACTTACCAATCATATGTAAGAGTGGCATCTGAAACTTATTTGTCTTATATGTATTATCAACTAATACAACATCTTGATTAGTCTGTGCAAGCTGAATTGACTGTGGATATGCAATGAAGAGGTGTTGTGTCCGGTTCTCTGACGTGACATTGATTTTGAAGTGTATTTTGTTATCTGTAAGGTGCTGAATAAGGGCGTCGTTTGGAGAGAGTCCATGTCTTTGCTCTCTTTTAAAAGAGGCATTCAGGTTATATATGTCGTACGGTTGAAGTGGGGTAGTAGTTATCTGGCGAAGGTATGTAATTGCTTGGCTTGGCTTAATCCCTAAATATATATTAGACTTAAATTATTTCAAGTTACTTTCTATCTTACCTGCATTGTGTAAAGATCTAGCCTGATTTATCTCTGCTTGTGCTAGCTTCCGGTGTGCTGGATGAGAGCTAACTGATTGACTTGGAAGGTGGTTATGTAGACTATACTCTACGCCAGGCCTATAGCGTAACTCCCATTGAGAATTTATACATTCAAGCGCTACTATTGAGAACTGGCAGCCAGTTTTTCGAGTAGTTGTCTGTCGCTTACGTGCTTGTAAATGCTGTTGCGGATGTTTTTCGGATGGTGGTAGGCCGTAACGGTCGCAATTATACGTGATCTTCGTCCTAGGACCGCCATGGATCTTTGTTGACCGTCCAATACGAAAAGCATAGCAATGATGTGCTGCCCAGGCTTGAATTGAAGTATATAGCTCTTCTTTAGAGCTATATATAGCCTCTGGAGGCAGTGGCATAGACGTATGAGGGGTGGCATCTGCTGACGCTGGCTCAAGTGGTTGCTCAGGTGAATGTAAGGGCAGTGGCGACAGCGAGAGTTGAACGTCCATTTTCGCTATGTAGCTATGTCAGGCGTGCATTGATTACAGTCCAAAGTACAGTGCTGGTAGATGCAAATGCGACGCGCGCGCATTTCGGTGGTGGGGGGGCGTGAAAACCCGCGCTTAGTCAGCTCTAAACTGACGCCGGGGCGTCAGTGTATTGGGACCCGGGATATATACACCCCACTACTGGCTACAAGGTTCCTTCAACACCACCACCATATCCACCATATCATCAGCTACACTATTGTGAGCTCTTTTGTCCCATCCACATGCCCCTCGGTATTAGCTCGCCGTGCTGTGTGCTAGCGCGAGTCGACTGTCTTTTCTGATTAATTCTTACTAACACATCTTTTAGTTCGATGTGAGTTCATTTCCTGCCCTAACCTTGAAAAATTGGAAAATTGCTGACTCGGGCCGTGATGCAAGTGTTGCCAAGTAAGTTTCATCAAGTCCAATTGAGTTTTTGTTGCCTTAGATCCACTTGTTAATGCATTTCTAAAAGTAAATTGAAGAGCTTGTGTATGGGGGTTGCAGAGAGGGACTGGAAACTTCTAGTCGTTGCAAGGAGTTCTCCAATGGAGTTTCAGCTCGGCCGACGAGAAAGGGGAACAGTATCGCTCGTTATCACGCAATTCGCAACCTTGAAATAACAATAAAATTCCTCTGAATTGGTCTTTTGAGCTCCCCATGATCTCAATACTGTTTGAAAACATTATACTGTAAGTAATCTGCCACCAAGTACACTATGATGCTCGAGTGAAATCATACATATAATATTGCCAAATGTAGCCTAGAAGGGCCAAGACAAGAGGCTTTCGCAAGTCGTCGGGGATTCATATGCCCGCACTATGTCCAAGCCATCATAATCATGGATTGAGGTCGTATCAGGCATTAAAAGTCATAATTGTTGGCTTCGGAGTATATAAGAGTGAAATGTTTGTAGAGAGGTGTGATTATTAAGCATTTAGTCGACCAATCAGAAGATTTAGCATCTTTGGATTAATTCTTTTTTTCGACTTTTTCACCCTCCAGCGGGTGGTCAAAAAATCCAAAGAGAAAATTAATCCAAAACTCCTTAATTCTCTGATTGGTCGGAAAAGACTCTTAGTAATCACACCTCACTATAAAGACTTAACTATATATACTCCGAAGCCAACAAGTAGATTGTGGGGGTTGGCTTGTAGCGACTTGACTGGTAATTTTGATTTGGCTGAGAAATTGTAGAATATGAGTAAAGAGGACTTAGAAGAGTTGAAACAAGGGGTATAGTATAAAACGCTTTTGAACGATCCTGGAAGTAATAAATGGTCTGGGAGGTGTAAAGTTTTATGAAATACCTGAACTCAAAATCTCGTGTTGACAACGCAGTCGAACGAATAATCGCAGGCCTTTAGAAGCAGCCTGTAACTTCTCTAAAGGAACTAATTTTGCCAACAACTCTACAAAGCCAAGTGTCAGATATGATCCGAGGCCATTAAGCCTAGAGCTGGCTTCCAGAGCCCCATGAACCTATTGAAACCTTAGTAAGAATAATAGAGGAATACCCGCTATAGTTTCTTAGCTCATTTAGTTTAAACTTAGGTACGAATTATAATCGAAATATAAACTCTATCTAGAGTATATAAAAAAGTAGAGAAAAGTAGCTAATTAAATATTTTAAATGTATAGATAGCGCTATAGGGAGAAATAGAGTGCCTAAAGTAATTTTTGATATTATCGAAGAATCGACATGCCGATGACTTTTGACCTGCCTAGTAGAAACAGACTTACCGGGGTTATTTTCGACTAACCCAGGTTTTATGTTACTATATTCACGTGATATATCACATGACTATCCAGGTCTAGATAGGCGATTAATTAGAATCTGTTTTTGCACAAATTGTTGTTATTACCTTGACTTACTTACAGCACCCGATGTATCCTTAAATCCTACCAAGTTACACGGACACTTTATGGACTTTTCTAGTGTGGTTCAGGAAATAATGTGTTATACAGTATGATACACTCGGGTAAATCTCGGGAACTCGGAGATCGAACCCAGCTCAAAGGTGCCAAGGTCGTTGTCTCCATTCATCACGAATTGTTTGCAATCACTGTTTCCCCCTTCACCAAGTTATCCTCACGCCTCTTTGAAAATGATTAAAGATATCACATATTATGAAGCCAGGACAGATACCTTGCTCAAATACGTTTTGTGAGTATTTCTATGGTTGTCATTGAGCTGCGAAAGTCAGAATCGAGGTCATCCCGTAGTTTGTGCTAGCTAATTTAATGCTCAGAATAGATCCAACATTTTTAAAAGAGTCTCTTAACGCCTATGTAACTGGGCTCAACTTACGCCTGCGTTGTTACGACAAGATGCGCAATATAGCCTTGACCTAAGCTAAGAGGAACGATACCCGATGGCTTATGATCAAAACTACTCAACTTAATTTTCAGTACTGAATTTTAAACGAAATAATTTAAAGTTACAAGACGCATCTATTCTCATGGTTGAACATGAAATCTCCATCGTCTCCAGAAGGCTCATCTTTTTGACTGAAACAAGACCAACGAACTTCTCATCTGATGCTTTTCATGGCCTCCTTTATCGGGCTTCCAACCATCATCTAATTCCGCAAACCATTGCAATATGAAGCAAAATTATGACCTCCATTCAATTGTTTTATCTTTGGTACCGCTACCGACAATTTGTACTCGGTGCCTGACTTGATACATGTTATTCGGGGCTCGGAAAGGAGTTTGCCGTCCTGCTTGACAGTCACTTCTTTCACATCCGTTCGACGGATATCTACTTTGAATATAGCACCACGGAAGAGTCGAGTGACTTTGATACCATCCCACGCCGAAGGGAGTTGTGGCCGGATTCGAAGGCCCTGGTCGTCTCCATGAAGTCCACAGAGCCCCTCAACAAAGCAGCGGTAGACCCATGGCATGGTGCCTGTATTAAACAATTGACTCGAGCGCCCTGCAGTACGAGGATATTCGCGCCATGCACCGCGGTAATAGTTTGGAATATAGACGGGTAGCTGACCGCGCTGGCGATAGTCCTCCTCGGATGGTCCAGGCAGCATCTTTCGCAATATCTCATATGCCCTGTCACTCTCCCCAATACTGTACAAGCTAAAGACATAGAAAACAGCTGCATGATTGTACAAGGATGCATTTTCTCCCGACCCTGGATATTTCTGGGTCACTCGTCCAATGTCTTCACGCATCTTGCTATATGGCGGCCCAAACATGGCAACTCCGTATGGCGCGTCCAATTGTTTTTCAATCTCCGATATCATTTTCACTCGTTGTTGCTCGGTTGCTGCGCCGCTCATAATCGACCATGACTGCGGATTGAGCCAGATTCGACCCTCGACATCCTTTTTGGTACCAAAAATCACGCCGTCATCGGTTATGCCTCTCGCAAACCAATCGCCATCCCAAAAGTATTCATTGGCAGCTGCATTTACTTCAAGGACTTCGGACCGGTAGTGAGCTGCTGTTTCAGCATCACCTATATGCTCACAGACATTTGCCCATAAATTTAGCGCATATCCGGTAGCCAACGTTAACCAGCCAGAAACACCCCTACCTTTGTACTGTAGGAGATTAGCACTGTAATATTGACATAGTTGCTAGAGAAAGTCTTACCCCCACCATATTCATGGGATCGCACCAATCCCCTTGCGCAATGTAACTTAGACCCCGATCATCGCGAGATGAAAGAAGCCAGTCCATGGCACGAGAAAAACACTGGAAGACGGTATAGGTTTTGCCATTCGAGATTTGAATAGACTGCTTCAGCAACCCATAGTCGGCCGTCTCGGCTAGATATACGTCTAGGGTCACAGGTAACCACACGCAATGATCAGTGTGGGGTATCTGGTTGATGTATTTCAATTCTGCACCTTCTGATAACAGAATCCCGTCTGGCATAGATCCATTGGCCTCCTGTTGCGAGAGAGCAGTGAGAAGCGCTGCGCGAGTTACCGCGGGCTTGAGATAGCTCATTCCCATGTTATCTTGCAGATAGTTCCGAGTTTGCGGATCGGTGGTCAGTCGATTCACATCGCCATGATAATACACCTGTCGTGGCATCCAGTGGTTGACAAAGTTGTCCAAATCCTTATCAGGTGTGGTGATTTGAAGGCATCCACGCCCCTTACTGATATACCCCGCGTAGTCGCGTGCGGCTTCGGCAAACCCCTTTTTGCTTAAGTACTTGCTACACATGGCGCGTATTTCTGCGTTATCAAAGGCAGGGCCGAACAAGAAGCGATACTCGCGCGCTTCATCTGCTTCTAATGTGTTGCGATACTGTACCGCGGCTATTGCGGTTTCATATCGCGCGTCCCCTCGTCCCAATTCGGATTCCAATAACGAGGAAGGGTTGTGTAACCCGCCTTCTCCTTCGAAAGCTTGCTGCATGGTCTCCCAAGAATCTGGCGAAGTTTCGCACATGAAGTATGTTTTATCCTTAAAGAACTTATTCTTAAAGTAATCTTCTGCTTTTTGATACGGAGTGACGCTGCTAGCTACCACACCCCCCAGATCCTCGCGAAACTCGGCCGACTGATTCATCCACGACATGATCCCGATTGGAAAGTACGGATACACGCTAATCTTTCTCAGATGACCGGAGACGTTGGTTACCTTGATAGTCCATAATTCCGCTACATCATGTGTAGGGAGGCTCAAGGTCATCTCAACCCGAATTCCCAAGTTTTCCACTGTCCAGGCAATGTCGCTCTTTCCTACCGAGAAAACAAATCGGTCCACCGGCTTGCGTACTGGTTCGTAGGGGGCAGAGAACAGCTGACCTGTCTCCTCATCCTTGATGTAAACAAATCGACCCGGGTGGTGTGCGTAGTAGTTCTTCTCAGGCTGCATAAAGGTCTTTGCTTCTAGGTTGGGTGCGTGGGCGTACTTGGCTGGCTCGGGCTGCATGTATTGGGAGGTGGCGTAACCGCGACAAGTAACTTGTATCATCATGCTCTGGTTCCACAGAAAGCCATCTGCTTTGGGCATGGCCGTCGGATTGGTCAATTCATACCGTTCGCCATTGTTGGTGGGATGTAATAACTTAGACATGTTGACGTTTTCGTGAGGTACTTGTTTTGCTCGTTCCGGTTCTCAATTGAGGTCGGCTTAGGTTTTAGGTAATTGCAGAGATTGGCCTTATTATAGGGAATACACGGAGGTATCATTTAAAAGGTGATTTCCTTAAAGTCAGGTGCTTCACTGGGTAAATTGCTGTAAGACGCTACCTAGGTAGGTTTCCCGTTTAGGCTAAAGCACCAACCGCACTTCAGCCGAGTCTTCAGGGCTATCGGGTCGTACTTGCCTTCCAAACAGACTATTTTTCTCATTCATTCGACTTCCCTATTGCTTCACTCACTGATAATTACCTCCATCGATGTCGCTTCAGGAGAGGCATCTGTATGAGCTTTGATTCGGCATAAGTTCAATTGTTATGTTTCCTTTTCTCGGAATTGTCGCTTAAAAGACGTCCTAAGATGAGAGAGCGAGTTCCCGGGTTCTCAACCGTCTGCCATTGATGAACATCACCGTTATCGTGCGTGGAAATTTGCAACACTCGGCGTTCGTGTGGACGATCTGATGTATCAAAAGAGCATCCGGCACGTGGATTGTATCGAAATCTTACTAAGCCTCATAGAAATGTTGGGACAAACGATTTGACGTAGTACTACCTAGCTCAACAAAGCAGACAACCTGAAGACGCTCAGGGTCCGTCACGATCCGCACTCTTCTCAGACCGCACTCCAGCCTCTTGCTTGAGCACGAGGCTGGTGCAATCTCGTATTGCGTTACCGCAAGCTCACTCTTCTGTTCAGCTCAGCCTCTGGAGCTTAGAAAGTCGACAACACTGTACGATAATCGTTGGAATTTTGTTTTATGATGAATGTTAGATTTGATTGAAAGATTGGGATGTAAAACAATTCTAACCAATACGAACAGTCTACTTGATGTTCAAAGTTGTCTACGAGTTCAGTGAAATGAATCGTTGTGCTGCATCAGGCGTTGGAATCATTCGAATTCCTTTTCGGAAGAACTCCAGTTGCTTTCCATTATCCCCGAAGGCAAAATAAGGTATGCAAATCAAGATTTTCAGTTTGTTGTCGAGGTAATGGTTCTCTAGCGATAACATCGTGGGGGAGAAGGACCAATATTTCACTAAGTTATTCCTCTATCTGCAATACTTCTTCAGTTCAATCTATCGAGACGATAAAAGTTCGACCGTAAAGTTTGGATAATTTGATACTGAAACTCAATCATCTTTCTGAAGCATTAGCAAACTTTTGCGTCAGTATACCATGGTTTCTAATTACCCTGAGCTCCATTCTGTCCTCTCATGAGGCACGGAACGACCGCACTCGAAAAATGGCTCCTTGTTTATGGAAGCAGTCACCCCAGAGTCTACGCGGTGCAAGGGTAGGCTTACGTAGTAAACTTCTGCCTCTAGTTTTATGTTACGGTATATTTTTAGTCTGTCTTTATTCTTACTTACTAAGCTACATTTATTAATCGAGGGCCAAGATTGAGGCGCAAGCTGACTTACCCGGCCACACGTAAGACAACCAACCAAATGACCATTTCTGGAAGTCTGCCATTAAACCAAGATTGTACGCTGGTATGGCTTATTTATTTGCATTTTGTTCATAATTCTCGCTTATAATTGAGCTCCTTACCAAGAGGACCCAACTTATAACTACTTTCACCGAAGCTTCGACAACTAACCATCATTTCTAACACTTCATCTTAGACGCAGAAATGCCACAAAAAAAGATTGACCCTGTCCCAGACGAAGAGGAGTTTAAACCCCCAAAATCGCCAACCGAGTCCGTGAAAAAAGGAACAAACGACTCGCAAAAATCACAAGATGCCCGTAAGAAGGCCATAGCAGATAATAAGTTGAAGAATCAGCAGCATCTCTTATTATTCTGCGATGGGACTGGCAAAGATGCAGGCGATGCAGGCTCCGCCAAATCGAATGTTTATCGCCTTTTTAAGCTCATTGGGGGACTGGATCCCGATGGTCGTGCGCAAGCGACCTTTTATCAACAAGGGCTTGGGACCGATCCTGAGTACAATGAGAGCTTGAGTGGCATGGGAAAGACAACCTTGGATTTTGTCGCAAAGGTTGCTGGTAATGCTGGCGGTCATGGTGCGTTTTCATCGGAATATTTCTAGTTACTTGCTTCTAACAATGACCAAGGAATCGAGGACAATATCGCGTTAATGTACTATCTTATTTGTACAAAACTCAAGGAGGGTGACAAGCTATCTCTATTTGGCTTTTCTCGCGGCGCATATACCGTCAGAATCATAGCCGCGCTCGTTGCAAGTGTCGGTATCTGCAATCCAAAACATTTCGGCGAGACTCGAGTCAAGCAATTGGATGGACTTCTTAACTTAGTCAGGCAGTGGAGGAAAGCAAAAGGAAGGCTTGAAAATAGTAAGATGAAGGACATCATGCCGAATTTGAAGGAGGTAGTCGAAATTCATGCAATTGGAGTATGGGATACCGTCGCTTCAGTCGCTTTCAAAGATTATACCTTCGCACTGGATCTCTCGCCAAAAATACAAAATGCATTTCAAGCTCTTGCAATCAACGAACGCAGACCACTATTCGCGCCGGAGGTATTCAAGAAACCAGCTAGTGTCAAAAGCATGAAGCAATGCTGGTTTTTCGGGACACACTCAGCAGTTGGAGGCGGCACTGGCCAACAAGATATTGCCGTCCCCGACATTTCTCTTCTCTGGATGATCTCGCAGTTAGAAGGACTGGTAGGAATTGATAAACCTGCTCTCCGCGAAATGAAACTTTTCGCGATGAACTTCAGCAAAGCGAAGGGCGCAGATGTTGTCTCTCAAATCAAACAATCCAGTTTCATTAGCCCCAGAGAAATTGGAAAAGATCGTAAACCTGGGTTGGGAATCAATGAGTTCATTCATATCAGTGTTCGCCTATTCGAAGACCTTACCCCTGTCAAAAGTAGGGGCGCTACATTTGGGAAAGTCTTGAATCCAGAGCCAACATCCGAAGGAGGTCGTGATAAGACGTGGACTTGGACGACAGCTGATGGAAAGGAGCTTCTGGAGGATATACCAAAAAAGTTCGAAGCAGAAAGACTCAAACCCGACCAAGCACCTTTTGAGGGCGATCCACCTTCGCCTACCTCACCTATAATCTTTGCAAAAACTGACGCACAAAAAGCCCGGGAAGCTGAAGAAGACACGGAGCCTGAAGATGAGGAGCCGGTAGTACGAGACGATTCTGATAGCGGGGAGATGCCTATTTTCGCAGAGAATAAGGACGCGGACTCAGATGTTGACGAACCCTTTGCGCGAGATCCGACAGTTTTCAAGCCAAGAGATGATAATGCTGCGCAGGACGGTGCAAAACTCAATGTACCAGCCAGCCGTGACAAGAAAAACAAGAAAAATACCACGCAGAGCAAAGTTGTCAAGAAGAGAAAGTAAGGGGATTTTGAGATGACCTGAGCGCTTTGTTATTTTATTCACTTCATAGCTATACACTACTTTCTTCAAATATATCCACAAATGCAAATTCTGAAGCCATGAGCACATATTTGTAGCACTTTTGACAAATTGGCTACAAGATTGAAACGTCAAGTCATGTTTGTATTCTAGACTTATCGTCAGGGTAAAATACGGTGTTCAAAATGAAGGGGAAAGTCTGCCTACTGGGACCAAATCCACGATAACTATGATCTCTTACAGTATCCAAAGCTTACTCGAGATGTTCTCAACCATATACATAAGTTCTTTTATTATCAACACAGTAAAAAGGAGGCCTGATAAATCGACGATTTGCAAGAAATTTCCAACCCTGACCCAATCCAGATGTAGAAACGGACATCCTCGAAGAATGATACACACGGAATGCATGTATTCTTTGTAAAAACAGCCTAGAATCAAGTGACCAATAAAGTCACTCACTTCTCTTCAGTTTCAATCTCCTCGTCAGCTTCTGCTTCAGCATCGCCATCTATCTCATCTTCAACCTCGTATTCCTCGCTACCCACTTCGTCATTCTAAACAAATTGTCAGTCTGGCCGTAAACCTCAAGATTTAAGTGTCCTGTTCAAACATACCTCTTCGTCGCCTTGCTCATCCACCTCCTCTTCAATCTCTTCCTCGTCGTCATCGCCGACTTGAGCATCGTCCTGGAATAAAATTAGCGGTGGTTCAAACGAACATTCTGATTTGGAGCTTACCTCCTCCGGATCTGAATCTATATCATCCCCAGACTCATAAACATCATCCCATCCAGTCTTTCCTGCCTTTTCAGCATTCATCTTAAAAGTTGCACAATGTTCTTTGGCTGATTTGTCATCTTCGTCATCGTCGTCGCTGTCTCCTTCTACTTCGTCCTGTTAATAATTGGGGGGTTAGTTGGCAATTATGGTGTTGATGCCAGAAGTACATGCCTCTGGTGCCTCACTCTCCGCTGCATCTTCTTCAAATTCTACTTTGTCGTCAATATTAGCTTCCTATTAAAAGGACAAATTAGTGTATGAACAACGGTGACCGTTGTCGTAAATTTATACCTCCGTCTATTGGAGTAAAAGGATTAGTAAAACTTTCACCTAAAATCTCGATAAAAACGTACTTCGTCTTCCTCCTCCTCCTCCTCTTCTTCCTCCTCGTCCTCGTCCTCGTCCTCGTCCTCCTCTATTAACTCCTCTTCCACCTGGGAATCTTCATCTTCATCTTCCTATCAAGACGAACCTATCAGTACAGTCCTCGCTACACATTCTATATTTGCGCATACTTCCACTTCTATCTCAAATTCATCCTGAACTTTCCCCTCATCATCCTCGACTTCATCTCCAGGTTGACCCTCATCTTCATCCCCTTCTTCTTCCTGTTACCATCATGTTAGCATAACTACTTTCACAGGCTATCCAAGAACGATAATACATCATCCTCGACCTCAATTTCCACTTCTTCTTCTTCTTCTTCTTCTTCTTCCTCTTCCTCTAATTCTTCCACCTCTTCAACTTCTTTGGATACCATGCCTCAAAATATTCCACTGTCAAATGTGGTAAAAATTCCCGTTTCGCAAAAAGCAACCAGAACTCGTATAAAAGGGCACTTTTACAGTCTCAAACAAAATACGAATATGAAGTGCGTAGGTCAAGATAAATAATAGAGATATAAAGGAGCCCCTCTTACACGTATAAAAATGGAAGGAAAAAAAGGGAAGCCCACGTCCAATCGCCTCCGACCCCAAAAGCGGATAATTCGTAATCAGGGTATGCATTCCAATACCCGAGCTGATACCAAGAGAAAAGGGGCGTAGGCCACAAGCTTGAAATATGATGAGCAAGTGTTGAATAAGGTGTTAATAAGCAGAGGCGTTATCCGAATAACGGGAGCTTATGTGAGGGGGCGGCTAAGGGAGGACAGTGCGGACCAATGTTCAAAACGTAAAGAATCATGGGCCGCTTGATTACAGTAAATTTTCTAATTTGGGAGTAACTACAAAAACTACTATTCGTTTCTCCCTGCCCAGGTGCTCAGGATGAGATTGGAAGAGGCAACTTCATCTCAACTTCGTCGCCATGCCCATTGGGTACTTTTGCGTCGACGTCAATCTGCTGTGAGGGAAGGCGCCATCTCGAAATATGTATCCCTAATAGGTTTTAGCTCAAGTGCCTGATGACACTTCCTATCGGTGTATCACACTCATAAGACGAGGCCAACATCCAGAGCTTGAGACTAGACAGGGTCGCGAGGATGTGAGTAAGGGAAGGAGCGACGCCATCCCCACTCATGGCCAACCTATGTTGATGGTCGCGTTTCTTTTGGTTGCTTTTCGACCTCGAGCGAATGGCTACTAGTACAGCACAGAGAACAACAAAATCGCGAAAAGGAGCAAGTTGAGCCACTATTGAAACTAGCGTCGTCGGTCATGAGGTAATGTTGAGCGATAGAAAGGGGAGAACTCTTCAATTTGTAAAGTAAGGTACAGGTGGGTATTAAATACCCAGGTTTGACGCTAGTGCCACTAGTGCGTAGTGAGTGAATATCAAATATCCTTCAACAGGTAACTATCTGCCTATGCAAGTTGACTGGATCAGGAGTTTATGTCAATGATGCTCTTGGTGCTCTCAATCTCACTCTTCAGCATTGATGGTACCTGGGCAATAGTGTAGATACTATTTTCTACAAATTACGATTTGAATCTATTCGCCGAGAACTAGGCTGAGCTACATAGCTAGAATAGGAGGCTGTATTCCACAATCGAATACGAACCATGCTCCAAAATTACTGCTCAAACAAGTCCCCGCTCGTCTAAAAGATGGAAACGAAGCCACAATACCATCCCCATTACACTCATCGATGATTAAATGTGCACTTCGATCCTCTAACTTCTCCCCAACTTCAATTTTCGTTGCTGGCTTTCTTCATGATGTATATGTTTCTTCTTCCCTGAAAACGCAATCCGTTGTATGGATTACCACATTGTCTAACACCAAAGTCAGTTATTACTTCCTCACATTCTCCCTCAAGAACACAAAGAAAGAGTAACGTACATTTATCCGAGTCAAACTCCTGGCCACAAATCTGTTGAGATCTTCGATAGGTACAGTTCTCCACCAAGTCCTCGGCGTAAGTAGCGATGTAATCGCACTTCGGAAAGATTGCGTAAGGATTCTGTCTATGGACCGTTAGCTAAGGAACATATTAAAGCTAGTCTGGATACACTGGTCTCACCTCATTGCAGAGATAGATAGCAGATCGAAATTTACACGTCAAACGAACACGTGCATGAGCATTGACACCACAGATATCGTGGGACTTGATGCGTGATATTCCCCAGGCGATGTCATCAGGACGAGCAGCCTTCCATCCTGGCTGGCCACGGACAGGGCAACATAGATAGCCATCCTTGAAGGCAGATGTCAGTATATTCAAAAACACATATCAAAAACACTACGGAGATACCAACCTTGTTACGAATGTTGAGAGTAGCGCGCGCCTCGAGAGAAGTGAGATTCGATTCAGGAGCATCGAGAAAGGGATCGAAATCCGGGTAGAGGGCCTCCATTTGTGCGATTTGCTGTTCAATTGTTCCGGAGACGTTGACTAGATGACTGTAAGTCAACAATGTCATTTTCAAAAAGAGGGGGAAGACTACTAGCCTTGGTGACCGCCCCAGGTACCTTCATATCTCCATGGTTTCACGGGAAAGGGAGTTCAACTTGAGAAGCAAAGATCTAAACGATGTATGATATTAATATCTCGTAGAGTTGAATGAAGTTAGAGCCCGCTGCCATGACCTACCAAGTTGAACAGGCCAAACAATCCTAAGATAAAGAGTGCAAGTTGCATGCTGGTTGTGCCGTTGCGAGAAGGCGTTCAAGTAGATTTGGTAATTGTTGATGATGGACCTTTTGTTGTATGATGCGGACCACGAGAGAAGCAATATGTTCTAGCAGTTGAAGAAACAAAAGAAAACGCTCACAAAAGCCATATTTATCCATTAGATACTTCAAAATAATCAAGGATTGTTGTTAAATTCGCTAAACACAAAGCGAGGTCGCTGACTTACTACACCGAAAACATCTAGTTGAACATGTATAGATCTCCCGATATTTATTGAAACATCCTATATTCTTTTCCAACTAAGTAAATGCCACGCGAGGTCTGTTTATTGACATTTGTTTCATGTTGCGTAGAGCCAAGAGATATTTTAATAGAGTACTTCTCAAAGGGTTGTCCAATCGACACTAAGAGCTTCATTCACCCAGTATATTCACCAACCTTTCTTCTAGAACCTCAGCCTAATTTTAGATCTTTTGTTGCCAAATAGACTTCACTAAAATCCACGGAAATCTTTCCGCTCCCCGCACTCAATTCCTTCGCCAATTCGCTACCCCCTATTTCCTTGCCTGCGGAGATTCCCGTGACGCCTTGAGATCTCCGTATTGTAATATTTAAGAGTGAAGAAACACCAAGGAAACATGGATAGGATTGGATATTCACCTGGTAAATACCAGGGAGCAACCTTTCATGGCAGAAGAATACTCTTCACGTGCGGTTGTAAGTTGTGGAATCGAAATAACTATTGAGATTCTAACTAAACTATGTACTGGCCCTCGCCCTCAAATATATACAGAAGAAACATTTAAAAAATCAGATGGTGAGTCTCAGAATTAAGACATACATCTTTACAAAGCCAAATCATAATCCAAATATTCACTCCTCAGAGAATAAATCCCAAACACTCTTCGGTGGTATGTATTCTATATCCGCATCCACGACAGGCTTGTAATCAAAATCAAGTCTGTTAAATTGAGTTAGTAATTTATCCCACATGGTGCCCATTCAGCCAGGTTGAAACGATCGTATGATATTCCATACGATTCCGCGATTCCCCCCAACGCAGAGAGAAAAAACCCAACAGCAAAGCGCACTATAAGGAGAAGGAGGAACTTACCCAAAAGCCCTCGGCCCACCCATCTCCAAACCCCTCTCCGTCGTCCAAACAGGCGGTGCTCGAAGCGCAATTACATTAACCCGCAATCCATATTTGTAATCAGATATGCCAAGTGGTGCACCATTTGCCTTATCAAGGATCTAGCACAAGCATGAGCACTCCCTTTATCCGCAAAATCGGAAAGCGCAGCAAACTCACAGTGATTAAGTCCGGACAACTTGCCAAAACTTCATCATCCTCTTCTTCTTTCCCTTTCAAAATAGCACTCAGGTTCTCGTTTTCAAAGTCTATCACCAAAGTCCTCTTTGTCGAATTTGAGGCTTCTTCTGAGAAAGATTCCAGGATGACGTTCCCACGTGTGAACCCCTCCCCCACCATCCTCGTAACTGAAATTATTTTTCCGCTGAAGATTAAGATGCCATTTTCAGAAGACAGGAGTGAGGAGATGGGGTCCTGTTTGAGGGCTCGAGATAGAGCGATTGAACGTCCTATCTGCCATGCTATAGACATGTCAATGAAAGCTTTATGAGAGTAGAATAAGACAGAGTGAGATTCAATGACAGAACAAAAGAGACGCGGGGATTCGAACCATGAGAAAAACTATTTTGGGGAAAAGTCTTTGCCTCGCTGCCATAAACGGGATTGACACACATTCCAGCTAAGGAGCCGAGATCCGAACATGCATTTCGCATCAGAGTTTCTGCTTCTAGGTTATCTTGTGCGGTTGCGAATACCTATTTTGATGTGGTTAGTGGGGTAGCTTTAAAGTAAGATAATGTTTGCCTTGAACATGCCTTCGGTTGGCTCGCGGAATCTGCTAAACAAGCCGGTACGACTGGGATGTCTTTCAGACAGCGAACTGTTTGCCATATCATTGGATATGCTCTCCCAACAAGGTCTGTATCTAGAGTGCTTTGACCGAATCTATGAGCAGCTAGAAGGGCCTCAAAAGAGTTCATGCCTCCGATTTCGTTTGGAATTACTGCATCGAAGGTGGTTATACCGGTTAATTTTAGCACGCTCTTCATGGCATCTGTAACCCTGTCTCCTGTGTCAATAAGTGAACAGCTGACAAACTAAACCCACTCACTCGTTTAAGCCAGGGATGCGTTCTAAATAAACGGATGGAGACCCCTGATTCAATGTCAGCTAATGCTATCAACGTACATTGTATGTTTAAGTTAGTACCATGAATCCAGCGACAAGCACAACTGCATCGTCTGGAAGAGTATTCTGTCTTCTAACAACCAATTTTTCACCATTCCGAAGTGCTACAAGACAGGCGAGATATGCTGGATATGGCTCGCCACAGCTTCCAACACCTAGGACACCGGTGCCATCTTGCAGAAATTGAAGATCTGTCTCAGAGAGGTACCAAATATCTCCCTCTATTCTCGGTCTGTACGAAAGAACATCGACTTTTTCGGATATCTCATAAGATGAGCCTTTGGACACGGCAAAGCTCTCTTTAAGCGAGGTCGTCTCGCTGTATTGTTTTCCCAGCAGTTCATCAAAAGCTGGTGTATCAGAGGTATCATATATTTCTTCGTAACCCTCTTTCAAATCTCCAACAACCCGTACGCGAATATTTGTTGCGCCATTCGTTACGTAGGAAGCGGGGATTGCTTCAATTTCCACAACCTCGATTGTGTTTATGTTACCGCCTGCAGCTACACACCTCTCCGTGGCCAAAACTATCGCGTTTCCTATTTCGTCATCAATGGTCAGTTCTTGAGGAACGACAGTTTTGTCAACAGCCCCGCTTATTTTTCCAATCTGGATGTTGTTAGAGCGCGCATCAAATGTGGGTGGTTGAGTGGACCTACCGCCGCTCCGACAGCATTTGCCACTTCAAAAAACTCCGGCCGAATGATTTCACTGACTCCAGCGATCTTGTTTGAGATTATGATACTGCCACCACCTACAAGAATTAGTTTTGCGTCTCCTTGCTTCGTCTTGACCAAATCTATGGCATCCTCAAGTGCACGTGCGATTTCTTCTAGCCCAGCTACTCGAACTTCCCGGGTTACAGTCCTTTCCGTATGCTCATTTATCAAGATCAAATCGGTCGCCTATTGCTAACATCAGAAATGGGCCTGTCTTTTCATATGGAGAACGAAAACTTACAGTCAAAATGTTCCCACCGAATGCGACGCCTTCGACCTCTAACTTGGAACCCACCGAGTCAGGACCAACGAAAAATCTTGATTTCTTTTCGCGAACGAGCGATCCTCCACCCAAGGCAATACTGTGGACATCAGGGATTGTGAAATTCGTCCGTACACCACCAATTTTGACGAATGCTGCTGATTGCCGTGGATAGCCCGTTTTAAGCAAGGCACAAATGTCGGTGGTGGTGCTATGCAATGTCAATGTCATATACATGTATTTTGTGAGAAATTCTTACCCGCCAACGTCAACAACCAGCACCTCTCTTTCGTCGGTTTCGTTCCGGGTATATGATTTTGCTAGAAAGGCTGCACCGCGAGCGCTGTTGGTCGGGCCTGATGATATGCACCGGACAGGATGCTCTGCTGCTATTTTCGCCTTACTCAGGGTTCCATCGTTTAGTGCAATGTATAAATTGCATTTTCCCAATCGGTGAACTGCAAATGAAAATCTTGCCATTACATGTCTTGCAAAACGTCGCAAGCTAGCATTGATAATACTCGCATTCTCTCGCTCAAGAAATCCCAATCGGCCGACTGCATGCGAACAAGAGACATCATAGCCTGGGCCCAACTCAGACAAAAGGATTTCTCTCGCCTGCAATTCCTGCAGTGGATTTGAGGGTGAATAAATCCCGATGACAACGATGGATCTGAGCGATTTTGATGTTATAATCTGTGCTTGCTCTCGCAGCTGATTTGTATTCAGAGAAATAATAGGGGCACCGTCGACTAAAAAGGTTAGTCGGAATCTAAGCCACCAGCATGCAAAGCTTCTGTCTGGAACGGCTCCGGATCTATGAGGACAAAAGTACCTTGATATCCACCATCAACAAAGCCATAATGCCCTTCTACTAGATTTTTCAGGGCGGGTGGGAAATCCACGAACGGCGGAGAGCCATTAGAGTGAGGGCCGCATAACCGAACAATAGCAACTTTATCCAATTTGCTTGAATCCTGCTCTAGTACCGCGTTGACGAATTGCTGAGTTGAGTCAGAAATTTCCATGTCCCAGAGTACCAAGATCCAATAAAGAAGGAACATATTCTCACCGTGGTTCCAATCTTAACAGACCTTACGTGGTCTCGAGGAATATCGGCTTTCTTAATGACTTCTTCAATGACCAATTCCACTCCTTGCTGAATGTCCGTTGTAGTTGGTGTCTTATGCCATGCCAATACCGTCCCGTCTCGAAGAAGTACCGCATCGGTGTTGGTACCGCCAACGTCAATTCCTATAACACAAGGAGAAATCTTCGACGGCATTGGAAAGATTTTGAGCAACAGCACAAGGAAACATGAAAAACATCAAGTGTCAACGAGAATCAATCTCGAGGGACCCATCACTATAAAAGAGGAAACGAAGAGCCGCACGGAGACGTTCGACGGGGACAAAGTGTTTTTCGCGGATAATGCTGATAAAACTCTCCCGCCCGCGAAGAAGTGGGGTTCGGGAGGCATATTATTTATAGATGAGAGCATTGGCTGAATCGAAAGACGCAAAAGCCAGGTGAGGATGAGGGTCCAGTGGAGGAATTGGCCATGCAGCGTGACTGACAGCCGACGAGTTTTTGGTGCAATGATTATCAGCCCGTTGTACTCGTACAGTACGGAGAGGAGTTTCTTTTGTGCTACGAGTACTTCGTAGATGGGAGTCTGGAGTACTTTCAACCCGGCCGTGAAGAGTGGCGAGGAACACCACAACCGATTTGCCTGATGGAGTAAATCAAGCGAGGTGAACCATCCATGTAAACTTCCACCGTTTGGTGGACGGCAGAGCGACTCGAACGACCCCTCGGCAAGATACTGTTCTGTGTCATTATTCATAGAAATTCTGAAGATGGGGGCAGGGGGCAGGGGGGCCGCTTGCTGCCTCGTTATCGAGGCTGGACGCAGCACGAGGCACTCAGGCAGCACAGAACCGACATAACCTTATGCATCGGCAAGATGCATACCGAGCTATTACCGACATCGACATCGGTGCTCGCCCCTAATCAAGCAGCCGGCTGGTCCATCGACTCCATCAACACGGTGCTCTCTCCACCGTTGAACATGCGAATCCAGGTTTCTTGATGAAGTCAACTTTGGCTTCGCGATGCATGATGCCGCCGAGTGGAGAGGTCCCCTCAGTACGGCCACCACTCAGCACCCAGAGTAGTACCACCGTATTCAGAGGTCGCCGTCTGATGTAGCATTCACATCCACGGCCCGTGGAGCGGCGCACTTCCACGAGAGTTCTCCCCTTTTTTTTCCTCCAGCATGCATCTTATCTTTCTGAAATTCCTGTGTTTTCATGTACTGCTACACGCTCTTGCTCGAGTAGCCGATACTACTCTACAATCTACATTCCCTCTCTCTTTGCCCTTTCGATTTGTACTTGTACCATATACGCGAGTAGAGTTATCGAGTAGAGTCAGCTCATTGGTCGCCTTGGGTGCAGCGATGTGTGGTGATCCCAAGGGACAAGAATAACCTATCCACTTCGTCGAAATGGCCGCAGCCGACGACATCGATAATCGCAAGTTGGACTTTGACGTAGTGGAATCGCTAACTCCACCAGTTGCATCCGCCGGGTCATCCAATAATAATCGCCAGCAGCTATACACAAATCCCCATCTTGCTGAACCCGTTGGTCCTCCTGCCACGAAGAAGGAGGTCTGGGCCTACTATACTTATTACGCGGGGAACAACGGAATTGGGGCTTTCCAGTAGTAAGTGCCTGTAATCTTACCCAGCCACTTCGCAAAGTCACTGGACATCCAACCTTGAGCAGGATGCGCAACTAACGAAAATCCTACAGTTCGAATCTTCTCTTTCAAAACTTGATCTTCCAAGCTGGTTTCAATCCCAATGTGTTGCCCCTTGGTAGTTCGTCCTGCGATGTCGACCCAACAGCTCCTTGCCACGTTTTCTGGGGAGGGGGAAATAAGACTAAAGAGTATTCCTCCGTTGTACTCATCGGGACCGGCTTGACCTTCCTCTCCCAGGCATTGCTCTTCCTGGGAGTGGGTAGTCTAGCTGATTATGGCAATTGGAATCCTTGGGTCGTAAGAATCTTTTCCGTGTTGTGTTGGGCATTTGAATTTGGTTTCCTGGGCGTTACCACGGCTTCACAATGGCGAGTAGCCATGGCATTGTTCATTTTGAGCAGTACGCTGGTCCTTGTCACATATACTGCAACCAGAACACTGACGGCGAAGCAGGTGTTACTTTCTGGGCCTCTTATGTCTTCTTCAACGCAATATTTCCCAAACTGGCTCACGACCTCCCCGAAGTACGATCAGCCAGAGAGCAACTCTTGAATCAAGAAATCGACGAGGAGGCATACGAGAGAAAATGCTCGCTGGCGCGGTCCAAAATTATGAACATAAGTTACGGCTGGAACAATGTTGGTTTTGTAGTATGCTGTGCGCTTTCGCTAGCAGCCTTGTTCGGGTTGGACGCCGATAATTCGATCGAACAAAACAATCTTGGATATTCAGTCGCCGTGGCTGTTTGCACTGCATTTTGGGTCATACTTGCAATTCCGTGGTTCTTGTGGGAAAAGAAGCGTCCAGGACCACCGTTGCCAAAGAACGATAATTACTTGATTTTCGGTTTCAAACAGATGTTATTTGCTGCTAAGCAAGTATTGACATTGAAGCAGACCTCTTTCTACCTCATTGCATTCTTCCTACTCGCAGATGGTGTTTCGACAACCATCACTTTGACTTCAATTGCACAGACTCAGGTCGTTCAGTTTTCAGCAACCCAAAATACTTATTTTATCATGGTTCAAGGAGGCTCTGCTATGGTAGCTGTGTTTGGAGCTTATTACGTACAGGCGTTTTTCAATTTTCGAACCAAAACTATACTACAAGTATCCAATTTTGGTTGTCTTCTCCTGGCTCTCTGGGGCATGGTTGGGATTTGGACTGATAAATTCGGCTATCATAATTTGTGGGAATTTTGGCTCTTGAATGCTGTATATGGTATCACATTCGGCATTCAATTCTCCTACGGCCAAGCATTTATGGCAGAACTGATACCACGAGGGCGAGAGTATATGTTTTTTAGTCTGCTTGGTATAGTCTCCAAAGGATCCGCCTGGATAGGTCCAATTGTCAGCAGCGCCATCGTTGATCACACGGGTAACCAATGGACGGCATTCCCTTTTATTGCGGCGCTCATATTCGTTCCTTGGGTTGGCATCTTCTTCATCAGCGAGAGCAAGAGCAGAGTGGAGTGTGCTGAATATCTCGCACGAGAAGCGGCAGATTTGAGAAAGGTTCGTCATGAAGAGGTACTGGTGAAAAGTACGACTAGGATCTAAAGAATGATACCCCACAACGACGGCAATGTGTCGTGCGCATAATATTCAAAGCCCCATATAGTTTGGGTATACTTTGAGATGACATTTAGGAATACAAGTTTGAATTGTCGGTTCGAATCAATAGAGCCAAGAAATCCCGCAAGTCCAGACTCTGCGTGTTAATATTTATAGTGAGACGAAGCCGCAAAGATGCCGACTTGACTGGGGCGTAGCTTTGGGATAACTGCCGTAACAATGTTCCGTGAGCCCTGTGGGCGCGGGCTCTTATTCCTGCAAAGTGTGTTTTACGAAGTACATCGTATTTCGCACAAAGCAGGATATCCCCTCCTTTGATGTCAAAGGCGGGTCGTTTCTGGAACAACACTAGTCCAAACAGAGGAACTACAAGTATTGCAAACACTACACCAGCAAGTCCCCTTGAGTCCAAGGGACAAACTCTGGAGCTCAACTAAACAGTACTGGGAATATGCATGTTACAGTACCTATGGATTTGAGATACTACTTTTACTTGGGTGCACTGCTTCATCTCAATTGATGCTGTCTCTTGGATCAGTCGAGTGTTCCAATACTGTACGGAGGTGATACCTCTGCCCCACTCGACTACTGCAGTGGACATCGACCATCTTCCCCGGTACTGCAGACAGTCTCCCAGAGTGCCTCCGTATGGTGTGACCGTGTGATGGGCTGAAGGGTTCCTCTCCTGCCCATGTCCTGGAAGAATCCATTTCATATGTTGCCAAGGCTGAATAGCCCATCTAAATTGTGGTGATGAAAGATCGCCCCCCTTTTCCGGCCCCGCTTGTGACGAGTGCCCAACCACTAATATTTCCGTCGCCTTCCTTGTACCCGGAAAAAGGTCCTAGATCAATCATTTTGCCCGCAACCCCTGTACGGAGTATGAAATAGTATCCGACCTCAACTCTTCAACTCTCCACACAGAGTTGCCGTTGGCCACATGCTTTTCCCGTGGCAATCTACATATACCAAATCAACTCAGCTTTGTATGTAGAACCATAATCGCAAAATCAAGACGTCGAAAATGGCACCCGGTTTAGGAATCAAGACACCAGTCCCACGAACAAGAACTGGTGAGCTCACCACAGACACGAACAGGATGCGGAGAGTCACTAACAGAAGGCAAGGCTGCTTGACGTGTCGAAAACGAAAGGTCAAGTGCGACGAATTGAAACCCAGCTGTGGAAGATGCGTTAGGCTTCAAAGAGAGTGTGTTTGGAGCGAGGACTTGCAAGTAATGCAGCAAGGAGCCCAACATCAAGACACGATATCCTCAATCATCACCACTGGGTCCCGGGGTCTTGCACTTCAATTGAATCAACCATCTGGCCAGGGATTTGTGGTGGAATTCCCAAGTGCTGACAAATCCATGATTCCTTACATTCATCACTTTGTCACATTTTGTTGTCGTTTCTTAGCATATCCAAACGATGGCGAAGGAAATCCCTTTCAAGAGGAGTTAGTTCCACTAGCAACCTCGTCACCTGCTTTAATCCATTCAATGACTGCCCTCGCTGCCGCACATCTCTCACGGAGTCAACCTCAGCATGAAATTACGGCAGTAAGACATTACTCAATGGCACTTCGAGAATTGAATGCATCCTTGTCTGATCCGACACTAGCACGCTCCGACTCAGTATTGGGAGCATGTCTACTTCTCTGTGTTTACGAGGTAATCTACTAGTTAGCTTTCCAGTTTGGACATCCATTTAACCTCTTCTAGATATCACATTCGGATAGCTCACTCTGGCTGGAGCACCTTCAAGGCGCGAGAGATTTGATACAGTTTCGTGGTGGTCCAAAAATCAGCGACTATCTGACAAGATTTTTCTCTCTCCTTGACGTCTCTGGTTCGCTCACTTCAGGCGGTGGGACCTTGATTCAAGGAAATTACTGGATCGATCCAAATAAAAATATAGACGACAAGCTGCTCCGTTGGCCCTATTACGATGAGAGCCATGTTATGGTCAATAACTTCCACGAATTAATGGTATACATGGCAAAACTCTCACGTCTTTCTTCCGAGGCCATGGGTGAACTGGGCCAGACTAACCCAGAATACATTAAAAAAAATGCCATCGAAATCGAAGAAGAACTTCGAGCGTGGTGGAATCGATGTCCTCCTGCATTAAGAGACCAAAGCAATGACTGGAGACGACTACCGAGAGAGCACAAATTGACAGTCCCGGAAACACTTGAGGAAGAATCTTTCTCAAGTACGAAGTCCTGTATGTTTGGCTGTATTATTTATGTACGACATATTCTCGATCCTTTAGGAAAAGAACCACAGGCGCCTGAAGTCACACAGGCAATCACGGAGATTCTTGAAATTGCAAAAGCAACACCGGAAGGCTATGGTCTCGAAATGGGACTTTACTGGGGTTTGTTTATGGCTGGGGTGGCTATAATCAACGATTTTGTCGCCGAGGATTTGATCAGACGGAAGTTGAAGTCTGATCCCAACATCAGTATCTACGTAAGTTTCTTTCATGCCATATGTTTCATCTCTAACAAGGTGACCAGCATGCTGCTCGAGCTTTAGACTTATTAGAAGTTCTATGGAAGCGACAACACCAATATGGAACTAAATACGATTGGAGGCAGGTGCAGACCCAGATGGGCTTCCAAGTGTAAATGTCTTCCGTCCATGTAACGTAATATTCCAAGGCTGATCAACCACTCTGCAGATTCATCTTAGCTTGAGAAATGCACGCATCAACTCGCAGTTCGGAATTAATGGCGTGATAAGCCCGGTGCGTGTCGCACACTCAACTACAAGCACAAGGCACGAGCAGTTGAAAACAATTCGAATACATTATGTTAAAAAACAGGATCATTTGACGTCTCAAAAATCAGCCCAGCAACCAAAATTTTAATGTCTTCATCCACCACCAAAGCAACAATTCTACTCCTGGGTGGCACAGGAAAAATATCCTCACGCATTGCGCCACTTTTATCTTAAGCCAACTACTCCGTCCTTCAAGCCTCGAGATCCGGGAAAGCCTCCCCTAACATCCCAAACTGTACAGGAGTAAGATTCGATTGGGACATCAAAAAAACCTACGATTCGCTATTCAGTAGCGGGACCAACAAAATCTCGGCGGTTTTTCTAGTTGCCCCACCTGTTATCGATGCTTTGCCACCAATGAAATTTTTTATTGAGCGGGCAAAGAGTCATGGCGTGAGTCGCTTTGTGTTGCTGAGCGCAAGCATTTTGGAGGTTGGGGATGGACCGGCGATGGGGGGGGTGGCGGGGTACGTCAAGGGGTTGGGAGCTGAATGGGCGGTCTTGAGACCAAGCTGGTTTATGGGTATGGTTTTTGCTGACCTTCTGCTCTTTCTCAAGTGACTTCCACTAGTTCACATTGCTAATTTGATCAGAAAACTTCTCCGTAATGCAACATTTCGTCTCAATTCGCAGATAATTCGCAGATAATAACTGCAGCGGGCGATGGAAAACTGCCCTTTGTTTCGGCGGATGATATTGCAGCTGTGGCATTCCACGCCCTAACTGATGAGAAGGCACATAATACCGATCATCTAATCCTCGGCCCTGAATTGTGGACTTATGGCGAGGTGGCCGGCCTTCTATCTAAGTTTCTCAGTCGTACTGTTACGCATGTTTCGATTAGCGAACAGGAACTTGCGGATGCTATGAAGGGGTTTGGTATCGAGTCGAGGTATGCTGATATATTGGCGGAGTAAGTTTACCTTCACCTCCCATCTTGAAAGTAAATGAGGTGCTCATGAATGTAGATTGGATGCTTTTGTTAAAGAAGGGAGAGAGGAGCTCATCTTTGAGAAGGGAAAAGGGGTAGTGGAGGAGGTTACAGGGAAGAAAGCTAGGGGCTTGGAGGAGTATATGAAAGACTGTATTGGAAGAAAGGTTTGGGTATGAGCACTTTAAATGGAAAAGGTAAAGCGAGGACTTGAAAGACATAGGTGGTTGCAGAGAGAGAAAGGCGGAATGTGGTGCTAGCAAACCATATTGAAAATTCAAATTAGTGGAAAAACAGGTAGACATTAGCCATGCCATCCTGGTCTTGTAAATAGCACCTGATTCCTTTGTCCTGCTATACCATCTTCAAGTATAGCACGTGCGTTCACGGAGTTTCCTAATACGCTCAAAAGTTCTGCAGTTAGAACTTTCTTCTGAAGTCACGTGGGATTTGTCAAGTGCTCAAAAAGGGGTTATTGGAATGTGTTTTGAAAAAGATGTGGCTGAGGGGAGCTTGGAGACATCCAGGCAGAAGCGTTCTTTGAAATTTTTCTACACAGAGGTATACCTGGATGGGTAGGTCATGTGGTGTGGACAAAATGCGATTGTTTTGAGAGCAGTTGCCTTCACTAGCGACACTTCAACTTTATGTATGCTAAGGTGAAGATGGGCACTTGCAAGAACGTAGAAAGACTTACGAGAATAAATATCATTTTTTATCATTTGAATCATATATCGCTCTTGTCTGGCTCTCTGTTTTTGTGAGAGGTTGAAGCATCACTTTCGCCCCTTTATTAAGCGAGACTCACTTTGTTGACTTCCTCACCAAAACTCTCATATCCTTGGTTGTATGCGAACATTCTAGCGATATTAGCAATAAACTAGTATTTCAAATACTAAGGAAGGATTGTCATTGGAATTGACTGCACTCTCCTGTAAGTGACCTCTGGAATCACTCTCCAAATGTATCCAGAAACCACTTTTCTCACAAGAGTCAGGGATATTCTTCTTGTAACTACTATTAACTTCCATTGGGGGTACTTTGAGCACGCAATCTCGCTAGTCCAGCTGCCTGCACAGCTTTTCTTTGTTCTCAAAGACAATCAGTATCGGTCAGCCGACTCTCATGACCTCGCAGTGGCAGGAAGTAATTTCGCTTAGCACTAGCGTAGTTTCCGTCGGTCAACATATTCTTATCCGCAACTCCGATCTCTCTCCTTTTCTTCTTTGCGTTTTCTCATTCTTCTGTACCATACGCAAACTTGTATCCACAAGTACTTTCTTCCTGCACCTACCCTACCGTCCCAATCAATTACACTCGCCCTTACTTAACGATGTCTTCCCAATCCACCTCTCTCATGGACCTAATCCCCGCCGAGATTCGCATCATGTTTTGGAAGCTCTCTGGCGATGGAGCCAGAATCATCGAAGTCGGCTTGGGCGTTTCGGCGCAACCCCCCCTCCCCATCGGTCAACTCAAGACCGTTTGCCGCGAGGCTTGGGAAATTTTGCAGGATGGTTTGGTGCTGTGCCTCGATGACGAGGAGTACAAGGACGATGGAACCGTGGTGAAGAGAACTGTCTGGGTGAAGAAGGAGGATGTTGTTTTTGTTCCGGCCCCAATCCGCGTAAGTTCATCATTCTCCAGTGTTTTTCCATCGCTTCTCTCGGCAATTATGGAAGATCGATCGCTAACCCAACAAACCAGAACCCCCTCACCCTCGTCGCGACGCCCCCTCGCAGCTACCTCTGGGACGTCACCGACCGCCTCTCCGACGCCTCCCTCCTCACCATCGAAACTCTCGCAGTCGACCTCAACGTCGTCTGCAATGCAGACTTTAACCGATCGGTAGATCTCTACCGACCTCTCTTGTTGTTCCGGGCCTTGAAAAAGGTCATCATTGTCACCACCGGCTTCACCAAGTCGGTTACGCGTCCCGCCACGTACGGCGAGCCCCTCGGGCTCAAATTTGGGTTCTCCGAGCTGGACGATGTCCTCCCCAACCGCGCCCAAGATCCCCAGGCCCGCAAGTTGGACCATTGGTTGGCGGTGGCGCGGGATGAGATCCGCCGCCTCTCCTTTGGTGAAGATGCGTGGGAGAAATTGCCGGAGGTTGTTATGATGGCGAAGACGGGGAGGGTTTAAGTGGGTGGGTTTGGGGGGTTGGGTGGTGGTTTTTGGTGGTTTTTTTGCTGCTGTTTCGGGTTTCTGTGGTTGGGTGGGTGGATGGATGGATGGGTAGCAGCTGGGGCGGGTTTTTTAAATTGTTTCTAGAGGGAGTTTGTCTTGTTTGTGTTTTTTTCTCCTCTAGTAAATGGAAACATGATACCGCCGCGCTTTATACACTTTGAAAATATCTAATGTGCTATACGTCTAGTATAATCTAGATAATAAAAGAACTTTATAATAATTAAAGGATTAATTATATTTAATAGTTTATAAAGTTTCTTCTAAACTTATTTTAACAGACTAAGATACTCGAACTAATTTTTATAATAGTATTTAAATATTATACTTACGCGAAGAGTATAAAGTATTATTTACTATATTGAAGATAATTTATCTATAAATTTTCCTAGATATTCTATTTCTTTTAACTGGTTAGAGTAATCTTTTACTTCTAAATAACTTTTGACTAAAGTATATGTCGGTATATAATTCTGGTGAATAGCACCTTGTACGAGAGCCTGGTAGACCTATATACTTTAGGTCATGTGAGTGGCTTGTTACTCACATACTTAAGTCTGTAGAGTACCACCTCTCTTTACCTTTACTCTTCATACACGAATGAATACAAAGAGAGATTATGTTTGTGTATCACCCTTTACGACAACCAGGTCGTACCAACAGTATATTTTACTTTTTAAGTAATAAAATTATAAGAAATCTTTTCTTCTAATTAGATAAATAAATGTTATAATTTTCTTATATTTACGCGAATATAAATTTTGAATAAACTTTCTTTTAAAAATAAATTTTCGTTAAAACAAAGTACTTTTTTAACCCTTTTTAGAAAACTATATATACCTGTAAAACCTACGCGAAACTATCTTTAATTTAAGTTAAATTATAATCTAATATTTCAAATAAAAACTTCTTTATTTAACAAGTTATTAAAATTAAATTACTATAATAAACTTATATAAATATTAAACCTCTATTAACCTGGTCTCTAAACTAATAGTTTTTATAAGAAGTCTATTTTACTAATAAATTAAAGTAATTAAGTCTTTTAAGTAAACTAATAGATCTAAAACCTAAAATCTCTTTTAGGGATCCGAGAAACGAGGAATAAATCTATGTTAAAATAAGAGTATTATACTAGATTATTACTTTATTAACTAATAGTCTATAAAAGGATTTTATTTTTATTAGGATAGAATATTATTTAGTTTATTTATAAAAAGATAAAAGTAAAACTCTTATAATAGAACTAGCTAGATATTTTATAAAATACTACTTATTTCCCTAAGCGAGGGTTATTATATACAAAAATCTATTTATTATAAGAACTTAAAATTAAAACCTTTATAATTTTATTTATTATATTAAAAATATATAATTTATTTTATAAAAGTTATATAATAATTAATTTATTCTAACTAGTTATTAAAATCAAATAACTTTAAATAACTTATATAAATATAAATCTTATACTAATTTATAATAGTAACGTAACGTTGTTATATAGTACTAGGAACTCTTAGAAGTCATCCGAGGTAAAAGAATTAATTATTAATAGGCTATTATCTTTTAAAGTAGATCGATAGAAAGTTACTAAGTAGCTACTCGACGAGGCGTTACTATAGCCCAAGGACTGCCGAGGGGCTTATAGGAGATAAGTTTAAATAATATATAATCTAATCTAATATCTTACAAAGAATATTCTTTTGCTTTCTTAAAATATATACTTTATGTACTTTATTAAATAAATAATAATTCCTTAAAAGATTTATTTTCTCTTACTTATTTTAGAAAGTTAATACTTTATATAACTTTCTATATATAGACGCGTTTATACCCTCGCTAGTCTAACTATAAATAGTCCCGTATAATATATAACCTTTAACCTATTATCCCTCTAGGTTCTAAAGCTAAAAACCTGCTCCTTCATTACTTAGTCATCTACTACTAAATCCTCCTCTTCTCTTTACTACAACACCTCGCACAGAAGAAGAACTTATCCCACTCACAATCATAGATCCCGCCTTGGCCGCTACATTAGAGAAAGAACCGCAATTCGTCAAGCCGCCCAAGCTCTTTGATTTATATCACAGTCGGATGAACCACATAACTCTTCTCGAGCACCGGGCCGCAGTCTTAAAAGCCAAATAGCCACTCCGATACCTCCCTAGGCCTATCACCGAAGTCGTCGAGCAGGATCAGAAAATCTCCGTTCGCGATGGGTCCGAGATCACTATCTAAGTTAAAGAAGAAGGGCGGGAGTGCCATGATCGTTATATTTCCCGAAGGGGGATGGGGTATGGGGGACTTAAGCGAGAGGAGGTGAACTGTCGGTTGTTTTCCCGTGACCTCGGGGCTGTGTACTCTATATCAACGTGGAGTATAGGCTTGCACCGGAACACCCCTTTCCAACTTGGATCAACGATTCGTGGGATGCGCTTAGCACGCCGCAGAGCTCGGTGCCGACCTACCTATCTAGGGGATTTGTTATCGTGGGAGGTTCGGCTGGTGCTAATATAACAGCAGTGCTCACACATATCGCACGGGATGAAGAACTCTTGTCTCCTTTAACGGGCCAGGTGAGGCTTGTTCTTATATGCCACTCTACTTACTGTAGACAGCTCCCGGCTCTGAGGGCTTCGCGATATTGCTACTGTAGTTATTTACTTACTAATATATTGGCAGTATCTTAGCGTTCTTACTATTATGTGCTTCCTGCCGCCTTCTTATATCCCCGCTCAGTATCGATCAGAGTATCGTTCTAATCCTCCTGTCTCGATCCCATCCTCAACGTAGATTTAGGGCCTTTGAATCCACCACTTATTACTATACTCATAACAGCAACCAGACTCCTCCTCAGCATACTTCCCCTTGATCTCCTCGTAAGTATTTTCAGTATCACAAGTATACGTAGCGATATTTCTAGTCTCTTATTCGTACCCTTCCATTACGGGACGATAGAAAGAGGATACTAGGATCTCCCGCCGGTTTATCTCCAAGTGTACGGGCTAGATCTACTGCGTAATAAAAGATTAATATATAAACAAGTGCTAAGAGAGGAAGCGGGGGTGAAGACGAAAATCGATAGATATAAGGGCCTAGGAAATTACTTTTGGACGAATTTTCTAGAGCTAGAATAAGTAAGGTAGTTATTAAGGATATATTTAAAGGTGTAAGATGGCTCTTGAACAGAGCTAATATAATACTATTATTCTTTTAATTAAGTTATTACTATTATAACGTAATATCAGGATCTCATATAGGTAACTCTAACCTCTATACTAAACCCTATTCACAAACCCATATCATGCTCCTCCATTCCCATCCAATCATCCCACAACCTAAACACCATCCCTCCCCCTCAATCTATACCAAACGAAAATAAAAAATCTTATGGATACCCTATTATAAGGTTAGTTAGAATAGAACGACTTCCAAAAGCCTTCAAACTTCCCAAACAGCTGCTTCAACGAAAATCTTTTTTTTTCTTTTCAAAAACCAGGTATCGAGATGGGATTACGGGGGGTGTTTAGATTGTAGTATCCCTTCCTTCCCCTCCATCCCCTCTTGTGAGGAAAGAAAAACGGGGAGGGGGGATAGAGTAGTAAGTTTTTTTTTAGGTATAAGGACTACTCTAATCTTACTATATAGATATAGTAAGTAAGTACGTAAAGTAAATTAGCAAGGAAATTAGTAAGGAAATTAGGAATATCGATTTTCAGGGAAGTTAAAAATAAACTAGTTTATTTACTATACTCGAGGAAGAGATAAAGAGATAATTCCTTAGATATAGATGTAAATATAGATAATAGAGATAGAGATTGGATTTGTACTTTACTTCATATCTTAATAAGGAATTCTTAGAGATAGGTAGACTAGAATAGCGTTAGAGGTTTTAGAAGGCTTAGGATAGAGGAAGGGGGAGGAGGGATAGAGTAGTAAGTTTTCTTTTTAGTATAAGGACTACTCCAATCTCACTATATAGATATAGTAAGCAAGTACATAAAGTGAATTAGCAGGGAAATCAGTAAGGAAATCATAAATATCGATTTTCGGAAAAGTTAAAAATAAACTAGTTGATTTGCTATACTCGAGGAAGAAAGGAAGAGATGATTCCTCAGATACAGATATAAATATAGATATAGAGATAGAGATTAGATTCGTACTTTGCTTTATATCTTAACAAGGAATTCTTAGGTAGAGATAGGTAGACTGGAATGGCGTTGGAGGTTTTAGAAGGCTTGGGATGGAGGGAGGGAGAGGATAATATATGAGTAATGTGATATGATGTGATGTGTTCCCCCTCGCTGCCTACTGTAGAAAGAGAAACACCATACACCATATACCACATATCAAATGAATGAAGAACCAAAAAAAAAAAGAAGAAAAAGTGATATCTATTAGATTAAGCATTTAAAAATTTGAAAAAAATGGCGGTAGATCCTTTACGGTCTATCCCTAAAAAGGTACGGTACAATACAGTATATACATACATGCATGGTATAGATCTAAAACATCACATCTCCCCACCCAAATAAGAAGTCCCTCTTTTGAATCATGAAAAAACCCCCCGAAGAAAACAAACCCCCATTTAAATCATAAACAAATAAATCCCTTCTTTTTAAGAAGAATAAGAAGGGCGGGCGTTTCAACTCCTTGCGCCCTATCAATCACATCGTCTCTCCATGAGGTCCCCGTTGTCAAGACGAAAATCGGAAGGGCCGGCGTAGTACCTGAAGGATGGCGTAGAAGGGAGCACCTGAATGGGATATTGCTTTCCCAGCTTATCCAGTTCCGTCGCACTTCACAAGACGACATCATCCATCACTCAACAAAGATGTCAAACACCTCAGTATAAACATCTCCAACCCCCACAACTTCACCAACCCCCTCACACCACGACTTCCACCTCTTCTGAAATTTGATTCAGCTCCAAACCCCCTCGACCGCTCAACTAGGAACCCAACCTATCTCCTCCATCGGCCACTTCATCCAAAGCCGATACTCCTTCTGCAACGACCCATAGATCTCCCTCATCAAATGATCCACCCAATCCTTCGTCCACCAAAACGAACTCAGACTGTTGAACAAGACACAGAAATGCGCCAGGATGACCAGTGAAATGGGTCTCCTCTGTTGCAACGTCGCTACGAATTCATCACTGATACGATACAGCCATGCGAAGACAACCTGAGGCGAGGGTTGTGCTAATCGCATTTCATGAAGCGGCGTACTAGTAGGAAATGATCTCGCGAGACCATCTAAAGCAGAGAGGTAAATCTGAAGATCTGGGTCCTCAGCCGCGGAAGAGAGGATCATCTCCCGAAGGGCTTGGAGATGTTCATTATTGGATGGAGGTTGTTCGACGGTACGGTTCTGGATTTGGAACATAGGTGCCAGGTCGCTGGTTCGGAGAGAGTCTCTACAGCTTGCAACGACGGATTTCATCCCTCGGAACATTACTAGCCATTCTGCTAATCCTTCTTCTCCAAAGAGTAGGAAATCCCCGGGTCTTGGTCCAAGGCCTAGGGTGATGTGGCAGCAAAAGACGGCGAAGATGTAGAGCGCTGGACAAGTTTCTTCATTAACGTTTGGCATGAGTGTCGATGCTACTCGAAGAGCCGATTCGTAATGGTGTTGTGCCTCTGATACGTAATAAGCTCTCTTTTCTGCTCTTTTAAAACGTGACAGATGGAGAGAAGCTAGTGCCAAAATCCCATCGAGAACAAAAGGATGCGAGAAGCCAATTTGAGGCACGTTGATTCGAAAACAAGCTTGAAGTCCGGAATCGTTTGCTAAGGTGTAAGAGGTTGATATATTGAAATGGTGTAATAGCTCGAGGTCGGTCACGTTTAATGGCTGTCGGGCCAATTCCCTGTCATTCCGGCCATTTCGAAGCATGGAAGAAGTCAAAGTCTGTGGTATTGGTGCTAGGATTGAAGTGACAGTATTGTTATGAGTGGGTGGAGAAACACTTGGATGAACACTCGGGGAAGCGGACACAATTGGTTCCGGACTGGAGACCGAGACGGCTATGGTGTGAGGGTATACACAATGAACGGAATGCCTGCTACAGTTGGCACATTGCGGTTTCTGCTCATCACACTATGGAATGATATGGTTAGTTGGACGTCAAGTGACAAAACGGAATATTCCCAGAATCTAGAACATCACCCACTTTTATCTTACGGCCTTTGCACGTGTGACAGCCATTTCGGGATTTGCGATGAGATTTTCGGGAGAGTTTTTTGTAGGCGACACTGAAGCTGTTATCGTTGGGTAGTGGGGCTGGGGCTGGAGCAATTGATGGAGGAGACATGGTGAGAATGGGTGCTGATCATAAAAGTGGTTTTGATGGAAGCAGAGATGACAGCCCGAGACGGGAGGAGACAGGTACCGTAGGGGTATTGTAGCGTGGTGTGGTGGTGTGGTGGTGTAGTGGTGTACGGAGTAGCTGGAGTGGTGTAGACCGTGTAGTGGTGGATGGTACATGCGGTGCGGTTTGTAAGTTAGTTTCGGGAGAGGGGTGGTGGTGGTGCAGTGGTGGTGGTGGTACTTTTGCCGGTGCCTGTTACTTGTTGCTACTTGAAAGTAGTTATCAATTGTAGTGTAGTGTAGCGTAGTGTAGTGTTGTGTTGTGTTGTGCTAGCTGTGCTGTAGTGTGGTGTTGTGCTAGCTGTATGGTGATAGCTGTGAGTGCAAAGGTCGAATAGTGCAATCGTCTCGTCGGTACCTATACTTCGTACTTCGTCCAGTACTCCGCACCAGCACACGTAAAAAGTAGCCGTCCGAGTACTCCGTATAGACCTATCGTAAAATGTATGTCGTGCGTAGACCAATCTCAGCAGAGCTACTCGTACACTATGCTTCCGCAGTAGAAGTAACTTGCGAACCTTCTCTTTCGTATTTTCACTCGGTTTCGTATGATCGTACTCCGTACGCCGTATCGTGTCGCCTCGTGTCGTGGGGGGGAAGGGGGAAGGGGGAAGGGGGAAGAACCAGTTACATAGGAACCTTCAAGCCACAATCAAAAACACAACTTGATTGCAGCGAACAAACAAGACCTCTGCCATCCCTGGCCTGAACCCCCTCGAGACCCCGTACCTGGACCCCGTAGGTACTAGATACGGCAGCCTAGTACGGAGTATCGACGAACGAGTAAATTTCATCTATCAAGCAGGCCAGCAGCCCAGTAGCAGGCCATCAGCCCAGTAGCCCAGTAGCCCAGTACTCGTAGCCCAGCAGCCCAGCCCTTGATTGACCGGGACGCACTTCGTAAATTGGATCGTGCAACGGCGAACGCCTCGGAACTTTGATGCAGGCAAAAGGCATCTGACGAATCGACGGCCAGCAGTAGTGCAGCAGTGCAGCACCACCCATCGTTGTCAACAACCCAAGTGGAGTCGCCCATCGTATCGCTCGTATGGAAGCACGTTAATCCGTCCCCAAGGGCGTTCGCGGATGAAACAATCCAATCAACCACACCCCCCATACGAGCGACGCTTCCGCTTCGGACACGGAGACGGAGACGTACGCGCAACCAGGACAGGCAACCCTTTACGCTTGACAGAGCATCTTCCAGCTTGTCCATTGAAGAAGAAAAAAAAAAGGAAAAAAGAGGAATCCATTTGATTATGCCGTCCATGCCCCCCCAAAATACCCAATCACCACCCCGTCCGAGGAGATAATGGAGAAGGGGATGCGTAAATACCCACTCCATTCGACTCCATCCGACTGGGTTACTCAAACCTACCAAGTTAACCCGGCTAATATGTTACCAGGGTCTGGAAACCCTAATCGCTCACGAGCCATACGCCATACAGATCCCATCGAGACAATGTCCACCCAGACCCTTACACTCCCGCTTGGCCGACAATGGCTGCAATGGCTGCATGGACAGAAAGGGTGCATCACTGGTGCATTCACCGTCGTACCGCCCCTCTCAGAATCCTCCCAGAACCAGGGGTCCCATAAAAAGACTCATCTCCGCCGAAGTCTGAGCCGAAGTCTGAGCCGAAGGACCAAGTCACTTCCTTATCAAAGACCCTATGGAAATTACAAATCGACGCGCTCATCAATTTTATTATCTCTTCTCTCTCTCTGTGCGTGTCTGTGTCTGTGTCTGCCCAAGGAAACAATGACGGTATCAACTGAGCAGTGCGGTCACCACACCCTGCCACCATGCTGCCTATGCCTCCGTACTGTACTTACTTATTATACAACACAGAATAACCCACTATCTCACAAGTTCACCACGGCATACCCCCTCCCTTCCTCACTTGATGCCCCTTCAATCGTCATCAAAGATTTGCAGCGTGTTTTGCAGTATCGTATCAATCACCTTGACCTGCCATCCCGAATCCGCAATATTGGGTCCCGAGTTCGTGCCCATCAAGGTTGGTCCAAACACCACCGCCAAATTACTAGCATTCATGCGATTGATGGCCGACGCCTTCTGCACTCGATCAAGATGCAGCGTCAACGCACGGAGCGTTGCGTAATTTGGATCAGGAAGACTATTAATAATGGCATGAAGCGAATCGCGGCGAACAATATCGTCGTCATGTTCTGAGACATGTCAGCTACAAATGTATCACAACCACCAAGACTCAACTCACTCGCAGCCTCAATAAATCCAGCATAGTGCTCGGTAGTCAAAAGTGGATCAGGGAGTTCCCGAAAGAATTGTTTAAGAAGTCCAGCAACGCTGTTAACATCTTGGAAGAAGTTTTCCGGGTGCCGAAAATCTACCTTGGATGCGTCTACATCTGCGTTAGAATCGCATTGCGGGAAAAGTTATCATATGCACTTACCATTATCGAAGATAGACTTGATCTTGTTAATATGGGACGCTGTTCCTGATACCCGGTAGATCCCCTCCACTTCCAAACCAAACAGATCAACGGCCTGTATACATTGCGAGACCACCATGGGTACAGCTGTCATATCCCTCTCAAAAAGTTCTTCCAGCGTGAGGCCGAATACTGGCCGGAGAGGAGGCAAAGCTCCGCCTGCAGTACTGCTTGGGGGTTGAGAATAAGGGCCCGGAAGCCCCTTTTGTGAAAAGTTCGGGTGGGAAGGCAGATATTGCTGCACTGGGAAAGTCGGAGGTGGGGGCTGAGATGTTTGGAATGGAAGTGATGAAAGTTGAGGAGGACCAGTATCGCCAGCAGGAACCGAATTATAACCAGTGGTGGTGGGAGTAGAGCCAGAGTTGTGACCGCCTGCGCTCTGGGGGGGACCGCTAGGAGGGCCAGATGTAGTTCCATATTGTTGTACCGTTGAACCGCCACTAAAATTTCTCTCATGCTGTTGACTGCTGGATGCTGGCATTTGGTTGAAAGGTTGGCTCGCATGACTTTGGTGCGAAGGGGCAGTCTGTACAGGCTGTGAGGAACCCAAAGTAGATGGTCTGTTTGTATACGAAGCTGGAGGTCCAGATTGACGTTGCGCACTTTGTCCACTGGGATTTAACACCTTGTAATGTCAGCGAGTATACAAACTTTACACACAAGGTCTACTAACTGGATGACGCTCATATTTAATCTCTTGATTTCGAGGCCCAATTTTACCGACAAAGCTGCTTATATAAGAGCTAAGATCTTGCTCGTTGTTGATAGACTGAACAACCTCCCGCAAGCTTCGATATTTGGTGCCTTTTTCTGCACCTTGGATTGGGCTAACATCCATACCGTTGCTCAAGAGGAGTTTCTCGTTAAAAGAAGCTGTGCATCCGATTAGCATAATCCTGCCCATATGACGTATAAAATGTCAACATACCAAACTTTTGCATTTGTAAAGTCACAGCCGAATCGCATTCTTTGATCAACTCTTGAAGGGACTTGACAGCATCCGGTCTTAATTTCGACAAAAGCTCCTGTCTCAGTCCTTGGGCAGCGAGTACCTTGGCAGCATAATCGGCATCTGCAGCTTGGAGTTTTCTCAGTAGATCCTCTTCATGCTGAGCCGCTGACTTTGGTCCTTTTAATCCAAATTTCTTCCCGGCTTGACGATCCCCAGTTTTGGCACGATCGTAATCCTCCGCCAAAGAATCATATTTGGCCTTGGACTTTCTCATGAGGTTCTCGGAATCCGCAGCTCGCTGTTCTGCCGACATTCCGTTTGTCTTCCAATGCTTTCTACCCCGCTCGATGTTTGCTACCATTTCTAACAAGTCTTCGTGCATTTGGTGCAACGACATTCCAAATTGCGCCCCATTATCTGCCATGCGCTCATGTATGGTATTAATTTCTTCGTAGGATTGTAGAAAAGACCCATGGCGATGATCGGGCCTCCGAATGCTTTCACTGGTCGATCTGCATAACTTCTTGAGACCTGCCGAATGCTCCTCTTCCAAAGTCGATCGCTTCTTGAGAAAGGTTGCGAATTCCTACACAAACGTGGTTAGTACGCGCTGCGATATGAATAGGGTGGAGTTTTACCTTGGCCGATGCGAGAGATTGCTTCAGTCGATTCAACAACGTGGAAACACCAATCTGTTCAGAAGTCTGATTAGCTTGGATGGCAACGAGGACTAGTGAGCTCTTACCTCCGAACTAACCACATCACTAACGGCTTGCGCATTGGGGTCCACAAAAGCTGCTTGAGGTACCGGAGCAGCAGAGTCGCCATTAAGAGGTGATACATCATCACCATTGAGGTTTGCGCCCAGTGACATACTGCCAGTTCTCTCTCGATGCTGGTCTTGTGGTTCGTGGGGTTCCGTCAATCGGTCGGGGTGGTTATCGGGATCCATCGTCGCGGTGCACGCCAGTAGATCTGGGTTTCGCAGATGAGGTAGGAAGCTATTGGTATGGGGTATTTGCTATGGATATCGGCACGAGGATGGGGATGAGGATGAGGGTCGAATCGCATGAGAGGGTGGTGGCAGAAGGAAGTTTCTCCAGTCGAGATTCACAAAGCGCAGGATGGGAGTTTATGCGACCATGTCACCGAAGGCGGAGGTAGAAGTAATTCTGTTGCGTATGGGTTAGTGGTAAAGAACGAATTGTACTGTACAGGAATCCTAATGCTGCAGGTTGACAGTTTGGTTGCAGATGGGCGTCGTGGCGGGCTCCAACCTGCGTTCACCATACCATGTTTCGTACCTGTGTCGTACGTGTAGCTCAGCCACCTCCACCCTAGCCTAGAGTAGATGCATCGCTTTTAATCTAGCGAGTACTGTACCGAGAGGGATAACTACCTAGACAACGCATCTATTCACTTGCACTAGACGGCTCTGAAGTTGCCATGTATATAACAATTGTCGAAGATTCAAGGTAATCGCAACTAAATAGTTGTAGAAGTTGTATTTGTTTGATTCACTCCAGAGGGAGCACAGGTATCAACGTCCACAATGACCCCGCTGTCGATGCACCCACACGCAGCACAGACGACCAACCAAAAACAAACCATGCTTTTGCGGAGTAAATGACCTAGGTGCTTTTGGCTTTTGCTTAATCTTTAGTGTTAACTTCATAATTTATTCTCATCCGTTCTCTTGGTATCATAAATATCGTCCACAAAATAAATAGTAAAAGAGAAATATCGGCCATCTTAATCCATCTATCGAATCTCCCGAGTCCTTTTCCAAATACACCGCTATCCTACTCGTCTGTCAATTCCTTGTAGTTACACTTTCTAACTATTCCTACAGATAATGTATCAATCCAAACATATACCCCATTCCCTCTATCCACGACGAGCACCAAATAAGGTCAGATTCAAACTCGTATCATTCTCTCCGATATTTGGTGTGGGTTCGCCCAACATTTCCCATCTTCGCAATACAAAGGGCGTCAGTTTTTCCTTTTCCCCAATTTTCGACGCTTCGCCACCACTCGACAGCGTGCCCTCTTTGTGGCAAAGAACAAGGCCTTCAGAGGGGTTCGCCTGGAAGCTAAGTAGGTAGTACATTTGTGGACTTGAAATCGTGTCGTGAAGACTGCGAATGCATTGCTGGCGCACTTCGTCGGGAAGATCGTCAACGAGATGAAGTGCCAGGTCGTAATTTTGTTCCATAAGGTCATTGGCCGCCTCCGTGTTCAAGTCGAGACTTTGTAAGTCAAGTAATATAGCGGACAGAGCCAAGATAGCTTTGGCCCGAATTTCATGGCCTAGTTTAGTCGCTTCAAATTCAGAAATGTGAAGTGTAATGAAGGTTAATAAAAGAGGTATCCATTTCGAGATAAGAGTTTCCTTGATTAGCATCATTTTTGTTCCCGACAATAGCAGTCGCACACCATTCAGTGTTGTCAAGATTTCCTGGGCTATATTCGTATTCCCAGAGGTTGTTTGTGAAGTCGTGATGCTGTACGCAGTTGAATCTATTATACGTAATAGGTTCGCGGCATGAGAGAGGCGGCTTTGCATGTTCGCAAAATCAAAAGTGCTTGCCGTCTTATGAGATGGGAACAATGCAAGGAACTGCAATTCAGAGCGTCTTCGTAAATGTTGGGCGATGGAGACTTCGAGGAGGGGGACAATGCTCGCCCAAGCTGTCTTTCCGGAATTTACTGCTGCCTCAATAGCGCTATCGAAAGCTTGGAGACGACCAGATCTGGGGTCCTCAGTGCCTGCCATGACACTGTCTTCGCCACTGAACATTGATTCGAGCTTTATCTGGCAGAAAGGGAGTGTCAAATCATTAGCAATATCCAAAATAGCCTCGGTTGTGATTTCGTTATTGCTTTGCGATCTGAACAAAAGCTTGTCGATAAATGTAGTGATTACTCTAGCCGCTCGCGAGTCGCCGTTTTTTAGTAGAGGCAGCACAAGAGCTTTGACGACCATGTCGGGATACAAGAGAGCGTATTCTTGCATAACTTCGAACGTATCGTGCCCAAAGATTAGAACTGAAATATCTAGAGCAGCACCTTTGGGCTTTGCGAGCTCTGAAAGTTCCAAGTCTTGGCGGATACTAGTAAGAACAGCTTCAGGACAGTCCATCTGAGTATGTTTCTGCTTGATACGGAGACGGTAAATATCTTCGGGGTCCATCGCTCCCGTCGTATCTGAAGGTCCTAGAAGTAATTGCACGAGTTCTTGGCAGGTACGGCTGTTTGAAGAAGCCATGGAGGATTCCATTTCAAAGACGGTTTTGGTGCTTGCCGCAATACTTGAGAATGAAAGGCATCCCAAGGCGACTAGTGGTCCAAGAACCGCCATCATACTTGGTCGTTCTTCCAATTTCAAAAGCCGTGTGACCCAAGCAGACATCAACACATCGAAATGTTGACAATTAAATGGCCGAAGTCGGGCGAGTAGCATCGCATATTCCTTTTGCTGCTGACGAGATTTCGCGCTTGATAATTCCAGTTGTTCCGAAACTCTATGAAACAAACGGTCCAAGGTGGCCTGGTCCATACTATTGCCGCTGGCCAATATTTTCTCAAATTCATCCACGAAATCCAACTCGGACGTTTGCGTAGTAGCGACATGATCAGACACAGGCGAGCACGCATCGACCGCCGTTTTTCTATCACTTAAGGCAAGCTCTTGAGAAAGTTGCTGAGCGAGAACCTTTTGACTTGGTATTCGAGTAGCAAGGTCTGATAGCGATGCCAAGAAGACTCTAGGTAAACCGTCCTGCTCCCTCGCCAGAACTCGCATACGAGTTACGAGTTTGTCGAAAAGACTGTTTAAAGCGCCAATAGCGATGAGCGGTTTGATATGCAAATTGATGGTGTCCGCACAAGAGGCCAGAACTTCTATGTCATTTGAACTCGCTGTAAGTTTCAATGTATCTGCTAACATTGAATAATCCTCAATAAGTTCAAGATAGTAGCGGAGCTGATTGAAGGTAGTAACAGTGATGTCCGAAGTGTTGGACTTTACCGGCGAAGCATCCCAATTGTCGCGTGGCGGTATATTTGGCTGCTGCATCTGAACTCGAACTTTATGTCTAAGCCAGAGGCCAATCTCTGACTTGCTTGATCTGTTCAATGATGCGATGAGAATATTAATATCGTCGTCGACGTTCACAACATCCAGGTCCATTTCAGTGACAGCGTTCGCTTGCATGGTAGGTAAGCTTCGATTGATGACAGCCATGCAATTTCTCATCCTTTCCTCCTCTTCGTCAACGAAAAATCCCGCACGACTGAGAAGCGTTGAGTGGAGCGGTATAAGGGCCTCAATAAGGTTATGTGTTGGCAACTCAGCGAGCAGCCGTGTTGCACAAGGTCCATCAGGTAGAACGTCCACGGCATCATGAATACCCCCCCGAGCTACCAACCATTGGAGATACTTTGCAACTGAAAAATGTTCTGAACGGGCAAGTTCGCATAATAAATGATAGAAAGAAGGCTTGTTGCGGCCTTGCTCGCAGGCATCGGAAGCAACGAAGTCGAGGATCGCAGTCGTGATGTCAAAATCAGATCTACTCCAAAATCTGCAGATACGCGCCGCGATATATATTTTTGCGTAACCTGGGCGATACAAGGAGGTGGACCATTCCAGGACAACACGGAGGAGGGTGGCTTTATCGTTGTCTAATTTCCAGCACTGTTTGAGAATATCATTCTCAAAACACCCAGAAAGAGAGCTGTCTAGAAGTTGAATTAGTCGTTGTTGAGGCGTGTTGTCTTTCTCCGGTCCTGGCATGCTGAGACGTCGACTTCTTCGATCAATAATCTCATAAATGACCTGAAAACTTTTACCGGTCGGCGCCAAGTGAGATTTTATGACCTCTCTGTATTTGGTCCAGGTTGCTGGAAACACAAAACTGTCTGGATTTGAGGCCATGAGCGTTTTCAGAAGTTCCCGTAAGCGTTCAACTATTGGCGTCAAAATATCCTGATCAGGGTGGTTTGCAGTCTGATTCATGTGAGCTCAATTGTTCATAAAACCATCATTGAAAAACATACCTTAGCAAAATGATTTAGCAAAGCTGCGGAAAGTCGCCGCCCGTATTTGCGGTATTGCAAAAGATCTTTCCAATAAACTTGAGTAACCAAGATCCATAGAGGCAGCTTTGTTTGTGGGCTGTTCTCCAAGGATGAAACTAGCCACTCCATGTAATGCTCGCGGTCGAGCAAATGCTCAGCATAAAAATGTGCCGCCAATCGTATGCTAGACAGTGGTTAGCCATTTATTTTCCTTTGCAATCATTTTGGGAACTTACGCATAGGTAATCCTAGTTCTAAATTCCTCTTCACCACATGTGCCTACAAGATTCTCGAGAAATTGTTCCACGCAAACTGTAAAATCCCGAATCCACTTTGCTTCTCCGCCCATAGCGAAGGTCCCACTGACTCCTTTTCTTCGAAAAGACCGCAGCTCATTTGCTCCCACGCACTTTGCCAACCATACAGCTCTCTCGATCGGTATATTTTTGCTTAGTGACTGATCTAACAGAACCTTTCCGCGTATACCATGAGGAATTGATCTGCTCAACCGTCGCAACGAAATTGTAGGGTTTGCCAGGTCTTTAAGCCACATTTCTCTCTTCGTATCTGTAACAGTTACACGAGGCGGGGGTTTGAACGTCGAACTTGTGGTGATTTGTCCATGGGCCCTCCTTTGCGCAAGCACAGTTGTAAATATTGATGAAAGCGCTTGTAAACCGTTCTTTTGCTTTAATGCCGGAAATATGTTTGGCCTGGCTGTTCCACTCTCGCTCGGGGTCATCTGTGATTTGTCGTAGTAGCCTCCACGAATGATGGGCTCCGAGAATTGATCTTCGGGGTGATTTCCTGTCCATGGAAAGAAATCAATATGACCTGGAAGGGTTAGTAATGAGGAACTTGTCCCGAAAAACTATACAGTTTGCAACATACCGTTCGGGGGGTATCGAGGAGCGGCTGCCGGAACTTCCAACGTATACGGCTTCGGGCGAACGTCTTTCTTGACAACCGCCCCCGCGACGGGTCTCGGTTTTTTGGTACTCGGAGGACCATGTTGCTTTGGTCTGACAGGCAAGGGCATAGGCTTTATTGCGCTGTCATTATGGCCTCCCTCTTGTAACGTGCGAGGGCTGAAGTTGCTGGGAATTGGCACGTCAAAATGGTGTTGCGATCGAGCGCCTGAAGTTACTGGAGTCCTCCAATTTGGCGTCAATCCTGTAGCTGGATTAGGAGACTCGACCAAGTCGGAATGACTTGCTTCGGAAATCTCCAATCTGAGGCGCGAACCCCCCATCCTCGGCATGGTTCCATAGCGTCCTTGCGGCGCATCCGTCCCATCGAGCGTCAAGTCCACGAAGCCATCATTGTTCCTCCTTGTAGGAGAACTTGAAGGAAACTGCTGCGAGAGCGTTCGATGCGGTGCAGGCCGCTGAAGGACATTCGTGGAACTCAATGATCTTTGGGGCGGCTGTCGCTGGCCCACGGTGGGTCGAGAGGTCATGATGTGGCCATTTCGGGACCCAACTCTTGCGATTTCGAGAGTGTTTGGATGTTGAATGTAGAGTTTGGGGTGGTGAGGGCGATTTCAGTACGAAGGGGGGGGTGTGGTTAAGGTTGAGCAATGGCAGGTGTGAGCGCAGATATGCTGGGTTGTTTGTTAGCGAGGCGAGAGAGTCGCAACAGGTCGGGTCGGGGTCTGGTGTGGGTGCTGAGCAGTACTGAGTTACAGTTTAAGAACCTTCCGCGTGGGCGGAGAAGTGGATAGGCTTGCTGACCCAGGTAGGGTAGCTGGGTAGCTACTAGCTTTGCAGCCGGGGACTTGTGAGTACAGCGTACTGAGCCAACCTAGCAGCCTAGTACACCTACTCGGGCCACCTGCACCTGAGAGGATGGTGATGGATGGGCGGGTGGGATGGGTTGATGGCAAGCGAAAACCCCCCTGGAAGTGAGCCACTTGCACTTGCCACCTTCAAGCCGGAATATGTAAGGTGTATGAGGGTGCAATTAGGAGTATTAGTTATTCATAACTGAAGAAGAGGAAATCTTTACTTTCCATAGCATGTCATGATTTCGCGTGAGCTCAAAGAATCAATTTCGTTCTACTAGCTGATTCGAACAACCAATTCAATAGAACGATTGCCGTTTTATTGAGCCCTTTAGATACGTGAAGTGCCTCGAGACTGCGGTCACGGATGATTAGGTAATGCCTGTACTCGTTTCCTGGCACCACTGGTGGTCAAGCGAGAAGTCAGAATCATCATCACGGGCACTTGAGACAAGTACGAGCACAAGTACTCGTATGAGCATAACAGCAATTTTCTTCCATCACGGATTTTCCCTTCCTCTGCTCGAGTGAATGATTTCAAGAGCGGAGACCAACATGCGAGAGGAGTGCAGAAAAAGCCTGTGCTATACGGTTTAGGGTTAGCAAAATATAATTATATAATTTATAAATAATCAGCTTTTCGGTATAATTAATAATTAGCTTTTACGTTATATAATCCCACTTTTTAGTCTATATTTAGCACGGATAATAGGGTTAAAAAACTTTGATTTATACTAAATTTAGATATAAAAAGGCTACTTTTCTACCTTTTATTCGTTATCTAAATCTACTATATTTGTCCTACCCTCCTAGCGTATAACTAAGTTTTCTTCTAATTCTAGAAGGAGACTATTAAAATTAGCCTCGAATTACTTCTTATTCTAGGTTTTCTCGTTCTTTTAATACCTTACTCGTCTAAAGGACCGGCTATTTATATAAATGAAATAAACTATATCTATTATATTATCGTTTAATCGATTACGCAATTTACTCTGGAGGAGGTTTATAGTCGAAAAGGCTTCTTCCGAGAGAATAGAATTAGCTATTATAGCTAATATTTAAAGAGTCAGAGCGAATAAAGCTAAAGAGGTAGAATACTATAAATATATTAGTAAATACAATTAAAAGTATAAAAAAATAACCTATTAAGAAGTACTAGAAAGCCTTCGGATTATCCTTATAGTATTACTAGGTAAGGTAGGTTATACTAAATACGCCGGACTAGGTCTAATAATTACAAAAGGTAGTATACCCCTTATAACTAGCTTTTTAAGTAATAAACTTAGTTACTTTTACTTCGAATAAAAGGGTTAAGACCGTATTATAAAAGATAGGAGTAAGTAAGTATACTATAGTATAAATAGGTAGGAGTTATTTTAATAATCGACTTTCGAATCTACCTTTACTAATTCGTTCTATATACTCTCGAATTGCTAGATTAAAGTACTTTAATCCTAGTTTCGAATACGTTTCTAGGTAAGCTCGAATTTTAATCTATCGAGGGTATACCTTATTAAGCGTAGCGTAGTCCGATTCTAATATCTTTTATATCTTATAAAGTAGCTTAAAAAGAGTTATAGTGATTTAAGAGTATTCTACTAGTCTTATATACTAAGATAAGTACGTAGTTCGGTATTCTTTCTAAAGTTAGCTACCGTATCCTTAGCGTAAGCTAGGATTAGGACTTTGTTTTCTATTATGAATAATATCTTAGCGATTTATATACCCTAGCGTATTAGAACAAATAATACTAAAGCTCTAACTTTCCCTTATAAATTAACTATCTTTTATTATAAGAGTATGAGTTACTTTTCCGCGGAATAAAAGACCGTAATAATAAAGTATAGTTCTATCTCTATAAAGGTCGAGATTATACTTCGAATTAGTCGCTTAAAATCGTCTTTTCCTAGCTATAGGAAGTCTATAAAGAGAAGTTAAAGTCCGTAGGAATCCTATAGTATTAATAGTATATGTTTTAGATTATTTATATTTCTAAGAATATACTAAATTTTACGCTAGGTAGAATAGGTATTAGAAGAGAAGGCTATCTAACGTTTAAGGTAGCCTTTAGTTATTTCTATAGCGTATTCTCTTATCTTTCGAATAATATAATCTCTAGTTATAGACTTAGTACTTTTAGAAGTAAAGTTCTTCTAGTAGTATAAAATACTATTTACTAGGAATAATATATTTTCTCGAGTTTTACTAACGTTTAAGGATCTATTACTAACAATTTAGATATAAGGGTACGAATCTACTATCGCCTATACCTACTTTCGTATACGTTTATATATAGTTTCGAGAAGGTCTATTATAATATGTTTTCGGTTCGGTAAGGTATAGTATAGGAGCTTAAAAAACTCCTTCTATTCCGGAGATTCGAAGAGAGAAAAAAAGTAATTAAAGCTATAAATGGTATATATAAAGGCTTCGTCCTTATTAGTTATTCCTTCGAAAAAGTCCGCTAGCTTACGTTTCTTACTTACGCTAGTCCTAGGTTCTAGTCCCTTTAATTCTATATCCGAGATATATAAAAGATAGTCCTTTATAAGATATTATTTAATTTTATTAAGGGGTACTAGTTATACTTTTAGACTATCTTACTAGTTTTAGGGTAAGGAATCTCTATATACTACTACTAGACGTAGTAGTTAGTTATATAGTACTACTAGCTATTAGCGCCTATTACTAGGTATAAAGGAATTAAAAGAACGAGAAAAAGTAGTATAATCTATACTTTATCGGGGTATTAGAATAGTATATTATATATAATAATAGTAGTATTAGATATAATAATTTTATATTATTCATCTAGAAATTAGGTTAAAAATCATAAGGTATTAAGGCTCGAAGGCGCTAAAGTTATTATATTCTATTAGTCTAATCACTTAAAAGTAGGGCTATTACTAGCTCTCCCTTAATAAAAAGTCTTGGTATAATAATAATAATAATCAGCTTTTTTGTATAATAATGGATATAATATAATTAGGTCCCAGATTATATAATTATATCATCCCTAGTGCGGTTGAACAGGCCGTAAGCGTCATCAGAGCAGCTTGCAGGTACACCTGCCACTACTACTGTCCCAATCTAGGTACTCCATACGGTACCATCAGGACAGAACAGGTACCCGGACAGCGGCGGATACAGCGCTGGTGCGATAAGCAGGCTGGTGCAAGACGAGTTGCCGCTTGCCCCGAGCTTAGCGAGACCTTCCGCAGGTTAAAAAAAGATGGAGGACCCTCCGAGCCCCCGCCTCTTACTCGCCTCACCCCTCCATCAGTCCCCCTCCCCTCCCTCTCCTCAGATGCGTGGCACTGATGCCATGCGATGCTTGGCTGGCGCCGTTTCCATTGCCATCATTCTGATCCTCATGCTGATGCCGATGCTGAAGTGTACCAGGACTAGGACTACCACTAACACTCGCACCCCCTCGCAAGCGAAGTATATATAGGTACTGTGTACCTGATGAAGTGTCCAGGTCTTGTTCCTGCAACGCTTCCACCTGCAATAATTACAGTACTTTAGCAAGCGAACCGACTCCGTCGACTCGAGCAACAAGCCTCCGGTATCCCGTCGCTAATCCTTCACCATCATGTCATCCCTCCCATTGGGCCAAAGGGCCTGCGACAAGGATTATCGTGCTTCCACTGCCAACGCATCAATGGTTTGTGCGTAGGAGTAGCCTCAGCAATAAAATAAATCGTAGAACCTGCCCTTTAAACTTTTCTAGCTGTACCTGCTCAACCTGCCCTCCTGCCCCTCGTTTTCTGCTGCTCCCAATCAATCAATTCTCGCCTGGAAACCATCGCGATAAATCCAGTCAATGTCGCAACTGACCACCAGGACCTACCACTTCATGACCTCCCTCCTCACGCATGCGTCCACCATCACCCTCGAAAAATGACAGCAAATTCCCAGCGGCCCACTTGGCTTACCACCACCTGGGACAGCTAAGAGAAAGGCGTCTTTCGTTGGCTTCGGGAAACGTATAATCATTATAACATGGGTCAAATTCCACCCATTTGAGTTCGCTAGATACAAATTCCAAGACCCGATGAACACCAAGCGATGCCTTCCGATGGTTTCACGACCTGGACAAACCACCAGACCATAGAGTCTGAAATGCCTCGTAATGAAGGAGAAACAAAGGGAACAAAAATACAGCAGCTTCCAAGCTGCCGGCGACCAATCATCGATCTCAATCCAAAAAAAAATGCGCTATCATAAAAGTCGTCTCGTCGTTCCAAACAACTTTGGCCAAGAAAGGAAACCCACAATTGGGTAGGTAAGGAAATTCTTTTCATACTGAAGAGAGCCGGACGCCAGTCGCAGCCACGATCCATCAAGCCATAAAAGGACTGGGGAAATGGAAGTTTTGCGCTGAGCTGAGGAGATATATATGGCCATTTGCTGGCCGAAGAGAAATTTCGTTTTATCTTTCCGTCATTTCGTAACTTCTTTCGTTATCATGATGTCTTTCCGCGTCTGGGTGAACCAGGGAATGAAGATGGTGGGAGGTGCTTTCGAAACATTGTCCGCAAGGTCACGCTCTTACTTGCTTGCACGGGCAACAAGCCATTGCAAGACGGCATCAAGGTTGGTTTCCTCTTTCGCACTGATACCATAGCAACTCACTTCACGATGGGAAATGCTCTTCAAATCCAACGCATCGATCAACTCGTCGACCGACATCTTCTCTTCGAGATCCGATTTATTGCCCAGGACGAGCAGTGGGATGCCCTCCAGAACAGGCTTTTCGAGGAGCAAGTGAAGTTCATCTTTTGCTACTGGTAAAGCTTCGGTGTCGGCCGAGTCAACGATGAACACTATGGCATTCACACCTCGGCAGTATCGCTCCCACATGGACCGAAAGCGTGGTTGTCCTCCGAGATCCCAACATTTCAACGTCACATGGCCCTTCTGTACGCGCTTCATATTGAACCCTACCGTCGGGATGGAGCTACATATGGACAAAGGTGGTCAGCGGAAATACTTTATCGATCGGGCTAAGGGTGGGGGGAAGCAGTGTTCCCCTTCATTATGGGGGACGGTTTTGGGCAGAAGGCTGAGGGTGGGCAGAAGGACCTACTCAAGCGTGAACTCTCCACCCTGAGAAAAAGAAAGAGGATCAGTATGACTACGATATTGAGGGCCATTACAGATGACTTACCGCCAGTACCCGCAACAGCGATGTCTTCCCAGCATTCTGCAGGCCGATCATGGTAATATCCATCTCGGTCGCCCTATGCCACGCACACACACGTCAGCATCGCATCGTTGGTCGCAGCAACAAGCAAGTTTTTCCAAAAGATGGTTTATTTGCTTTTGCTGCTGGCAGAATCATCCACACTCGGTTCTGGACGATGCCACCAAAGCAACTCACCAAAATAGCCTTAACAGCCAATCGTACACCCGCTTGAATAGCCCGGCCATGATCATACAGGTTCTGCGCAAGAGAGAAGTCCTGGAAAGAGTTGGTTTGGATGGTGAGGTATGTGGTTGGGGGAAAGTCGCGCAAGGCTAGCTATGTAGTGAAGGAGGGGCAGCGGTGGAGTTGGAAAGTCTTGCGATGGATGGCAACCAGGTCTTGGTCTCGGTCTTGGATGATGGGTGGAAATGGTTAGGTAGTTCCCGTGCAGTCTGAATAGAGGTACGACGGTGCGAGAAGTAGAGTCCGATGAGTGTTTGGCGCAATTGTAGAACCTGAGCTTCAACTTTTTCGTGCGGTGTAGCCGTCGGGAGTAGCGCTTGTGACGATGGGGAAGCAGCACAAACAAACCGTCCAAGCTTCAGACGGCCTGGGCAGCACAGGGCAGTAGATGGCAGGCACCACTAACTGACACTGGCACTGACACTGGAACCGCACAGCGTGGGATGTGATGGGTGATGCACTGATGGGTGATTTTTTTTTCGCGTGATGCGACCGGCACTAGAGCCGGGAGGAGTTGCAGGAGATGCAGGAGGAGGAGGGGCGAGGGAGAGTCGATCTGGACGGAGGCACTCGCTCTCTCGTGAAATCGCGATGAGGTTTGTACCGAGTATATACGAGTACTGGTTATGGTGCGGTATGTGGTGCGCACAGCAGAGCCACGATGGGATGATGGATGATGTATTTTTGGTGCAAACCCGGCCAAACAGCAAAGCAGGATGGCGGCCAGCGATAGTTATGACGGCAAGTTAAGGTTTGGGATGGGTTGAGGTAGAGGTTGAGGTTGATGGTGTTCCTGTCGATAGCTGCACTGGCGGTGATGCACTGCAAGCTTGCAGAAGGCTGCAGAGGGAGCTAGAGGGAGCTAGAGGGAGCTAGAGGGGGGCTCGGGGGGCTCTCACCAGGAGGAAAGGACCAGGCGAAAGCAGAGGCGGGCGAGAAGATGCGATGCGGATGCGGGCAGGGAAGGTGGGGAGGGGAGGGGAGG